CCTGGTGGTCTAGTGGTTAGGAGTCAGCGCTCTCTCTCCTTCCTAACAGGACCCCGATTTTATCCATTATCCCAGCCTCCCCCAAAGCAAGTTGGCCCCTCCCCCTCACTCTAAGGGGGAGCCTGAGGCTCTATAACATGGTTCTTAACTGAAGGTAATATTGTACCCCAAGGATGTCTGGCAATGCCTGGGGATAATTTTGGCTTGTCACAAAAAGGGGGAAGTCATCTACTAGGTAGAGGTCAAGAACATTGCAAAACAGCCTGCCACACCCAGGACAGCCTTCCACAACAGAGAACTGTTCAACCCAAAATGCCAATAGTCCACTGGTAGAGAAACCTTGGTCTAAGGGTCATGGCATCCTCCTTACCAGCAATTGATTTAAGTTGGCAACTTTCTTGGTAGGTTGGTCCTGGCTTCCGGAGGCTGCCTTCTCTCCTGCTGGATACGGTGGTGGACAGATGTGATGTCAGGATCTGCCAATGCCATTGTTACAGGTCCAAACACACAGGAGGGCACAACTGCTTCATTAAGGCTGACATTGAAGCTTACGCCGCCCCTCTGAACTCCCAGTTTTGTGAGCCAATAAGTATCTTCATTGTGTAAGCCAGGTTTGTTTGTGGTTTTTTTAAGATTTTATTTCTTTATTTGATAGAGATCACAAGTAGGCAGAGGCAGGCAGAGAGAGGGGGAAGCAGTTTCCCTGCTCCTGATGCAGGGCTTGATCCCAGGACTCTGAGATCATGATCTGGGCCAAAGGCAGAGAATTAACCCACTGAGCCACCCAGGCACCCCTGTGTAAGCCAGTTTTGAGAGAAGACATCGCCTACCTCCATTTTGACCTCTCTCTGTACTTCCTAATTAAATTCTTTCTGTTTTATCTCTTAACTCAAACAAAAGACCCTACAGAAAGCATCCCATGACGGGAACCAAAACTACCCTCTCAAGCAGTAACTAGTGCCCTAAGCCAGCAAGACTTGTGTGATTGACCCCAAGACAATGATCTACCTGACCTTTACTGCCTACCTGCACGTACCCACTCACCTTTGTCCCACATTCTCCTTATATAAACCTAGAAGTATTTTCAGCACTTTGGAGACAGTCTTTGAGACACTAGCCTGCCTTATTCCTAGTGCTGGCCTCACTGAAATAAATTCCTTTCCTGTTTCACCACGACTTATCTCTCTGCCTTCAGATTTGGTCAGTGGCCAGTGGCCAAACCTGGTCTGCTTGGGACCCTGGAGCCAGGTGCTCTTACTCTTCTGTGTCCCAGTTATAGTTTAAATTCAGTTTTACACCAAACTCAAAGCTGCCTGCATCCTAACTGATTAAAGAAGTATTCTAACATAATTTTCTGAGAAATCTGGGGAAAAAAACAAAGAAAAGGAAAAGAAAGAAAGCCATACAAGAATATTAAAGACTTTAGACAGACAGTGAGGGAGGGATAGAATATTTTAAAGTTTCTGAGTTCATTGTCAATCCCACTGTAATATGAGACATTTGTAAGAGAATTGATAAACCTCAAGAAGAGAGGGGAATCGAATGTTCAAGAAGAAGCATTGTTGTAGAGCCTGGCTGGTCCTGTACCTTTCATTCATTCCACAAATAGTTTTGGAGAGTCTGCTATGAGTCAGGTAATGGTCTAAGCTCTAGAGGACTGGTAGAACAGTCGGGAACAGTCAGGTCATTGCCTTTGTCGAACTTACAGTCTAGCAGAGGGAGACAGACAAGAAACAAATAACCATGATAAATAACTAAATGGCAAGGCAGGTGACAAGGTGTATGTAGTGTTACAAGAAAAAACAATAGAGAAGCCCCTGGGTGACTCCCTGGTTAAGCATCGGACCTTTTTTTTTTTTTTTTTTTTAAGATTTTATTTATTTATTTGGGGAGAGAAGAGAGCACAAGCAGGGTGAGCTGCAGGTAGAGGGACAAGCAAGCTCCCCGCTGAGCAAGGATCCTGATCCAGAACTTGATCCCAAGGCCCTGGGAGGCCCTGGGAGACCCTGGGATCCTGACCCGAGTGGAGGGCAGATGCTTAACTGCTGGAGCCACCCATGTGTCCCTCTTTCTTTCTTTCTTTCTTTCTTTCTTTCTTTCTTTCTTTCTTTCTTTCTTTCTTTTCTTTTCTTTTCCTTTCTTTTCTTTTCTTTCTTTCTTTCTCTTGCTTTCTTGCTTTCTTGCTTTCTTTTTTTAAGGCATCTGACTCTTGATCTCAGCTCAGGTCTTGATCTCAGGGTGGTGAGTTCAGGCCCCACACTGGGCATGGAGCCTACCTAAAAATAAAAAATAAATTTAAAAATTTTTAAAAAGTAATAGATGAGGTGAGGGGAGTTGGGAAGGCAGAGGAGAGGGTGGTGAATAGCAGCTTAAATAGGCAGTCAGAGTAGGCCTAATTGAGAAATGATCTTTGAGAGAAGATATTAGAGGGTGTTAGCAATACAGACACCAAAGAGAAGAAAAGCATTCTAGATAGAGGGAACAGCCAGTGCAAAGTCCTGAGGCAAGAGCTTTCCTGGTATGATGCAGGAACGGCAAGAAGGTAGTGTGGCTAGGGTGGAATGAATGAAGGGGTAAGAGGAATTAGGAGTGAGATCAGAAGTAAAGGGAAGGGCTTTGTAGTCATTGTATGGACTTTGGCTTTTACTTCCACAGGAATGGGGAGTCACTGAGGGATCTTGAGGGGGGAATCATAATCTGGCTCAGATTTTACCATGACTTTCCTGGCTATCATGTACAGATAAAGGAGAACATAAATGAAAGCTGATGATCACAGCAATACAGTGAAGCAGTGGTGGTAACTAGCAGGTTGGAAGTAGCAGAGATGGTGAGATAACCTTGGATTCCAGACATATTTGAAGGACCCAACACAATTCCCTTAACCAAGTAGATAAAATACATGAAGAAAAAACATGTGCTGACAAAGCTGTGAATACAACTCCTCAGCTTCTGACTCCATGGCCCTACAAAGAACAAGAACAGTGGCACTGGGTTTGTGAAAGGTTGACTTGTCAAGATGTATCACAATGTCAAAGTGTGGTTGAAGATAGAAGATACAGTGTAACACATGAAGCAGGGTTAATGTTCCTTGAAGCAGACAGGGGCCAAATTTCTGCTTCATGTTGTTAAGAAATATGTCTAGGGGCGCCTGGGTGGCTCAGTGGATTAAGCCTCTGCCTTCAGCTCAGGTCATGATCTCAGGGTCCTGAGATGCAGTCCTACATCAGCCTCTATGCTCAGCAGGGAGCCTGCTTCCTCTACTGTCTCTCTCTGCCTGCCTGCCTCTCTGCCTACTTGTGATCTGTCTGTCGAATAAATAAATAAAATCTTAAAAAGAAAGAAATATGTCTAGACCATGAAACAATCATCACAAAGGTTCTGAGAAACTCAGCATTCCCTCCAGGAACAGCCAAAACAAAACAAAACAAACAAACAAACTTTTACAACCAGATTATAAGGATCAACTTAAATTCCCATTGTAGTATTATATAGACAAAAAGAGCTGTACTATCTGTCAGTATCTTTTGATTAGTATTGCATCTCGTTTGAGAGAGCCTCATCTACCCTCAACGTGAATCTTTAAGGCAAATTTAGAATGGAATAGACATTGGGGAACAAATACATTGAAGAAAATGCAAATAAAAAATATTTTAAACTCAAAAAGGTGTATCCTCCACTGATCCTATAGAACTCTGGATATTTGAGGCAGACTTTTCCTCAACCAGTTCTTCTGTATAAGAATTACTCAGCTGGGTGTGGTGACGCTCCTGTCCCATAATAAATGTATTCATGTATCACCACACTCCTTTTGGAGCCTCTTTAAAAGCCATTCTCTGCCTGTCGGACAGATTATTGGCTTGATTCTCATGTCTGTTCAGAACCAAAGCATCTAGATGAGGCATTATACAAAAGTTGTATTAATGTGTTTTAAATCACCTAAGTATAGATAGTAGTTAATAATGGACTCTGCCCCATTGAAGTTTGGTTTCCAGCAGTGCCATTTACTCTACCGTAAATGCTACTTCCCCACCTCTAAAACGGGCAGAATGATATTTTTAGAGGATTTGTTGTGAGGATCAGAGTTAATATTTGTAAAGCCCTCTGAACAGTGCCTGGCAATACCCTGTATGTGTCCATTATTAAGGACCAATGCTCCCCGGCATCTCAGGGATTTAAATTTAATGCTCTTAAAAAGGAGAGAAACCAAAACTGCCACACTTTTTCAACGCTCTCTGATTTTATTCGTTTCAAAGCATTTAGAACATGACGGACAGCAAAGAAGGTCAAAAGAAGAAAAGATAGGGAACGCCGAGTTATTTGTTCGCGAGTTCCAGGCGTGTCTTCTTCGTTCAAAAACTCGACCATGACTCCCAGATCATCTTTGTGATTACACACATTCTTGAATACAAGGTTTTGTTTCGTTAAGTAAAACCAATCCGTAGACAACCTAAGAAAAAAGCGGAGCATCTCTCCTGACCACACTGAGATCTGGGTGAACGACGGATTATTAGACACTGACATTTCTAAACGTCGGCAATTAAGACCTCCCTGAGTCCTTCTATCACTCGGACTTGTCAGAAAAACAGCAAGAGCGCCACGAGGCCTCAGCGTCAGGCTGCACTCGCCCTGGACGCAAACGAGAGCATCCAGGGGCAAAGCCGAGCCGCCGGGCGTCCGAGCCGAGCGAGCCCCGCGCCTCCCGCGGAGAACCAGAGGCCTGCTCCCCGCGCTTCCGCGGTGCTTTCAAGGCCTCGAGAGACCTGCGGCCCGGGTGAAGCCGGCCCGGGCGAGAAGAGGAGGGACGGAGCTAGAATACTGCTGCCTGGCCCTGGTCCGGAGCCCTGGAGCGCGCGCCTTACGGCCGCGGCGGAAGCGGGCGGGACGGGGGCGGGGCGGGGGCGGGGCTGGGCGGGGCTGGGCGGCGGGCGCCTCCGGGCGCGGCGCGCGTTTCCGGCGTGAGCGGCGGAGCGCTCGGGTGGGGGCACCGCCGGCTCCGAACAGCGCACAATGAGACAGCGCTGAGCGCCGGAAGTGGGGCCGAAGGAAAACACGGAGAGGGAGCCCGGCCGGGACAGGAAGAGGCGGGGGACCGCGGCGGAGGTGGTGAGTGCTCCGGGGAGCCTTCTCCCCGCGTCCCTCCCAGACCAGCCTCCCGGGTGGGTCTCCGGTGGGTTCCTTGGTCTCCGGAGTAGAGGGCGGGCCCGGCCGGAGAGAAACGTTGGCTCCATCCCCCGCCGGCCTCCTCGCCCCAGTTGCGAGGACCTGGGAGCCCTCAGGCCGGCGGGGACTGAGCTCCTCGGATTCGAGTCCGCATCTTCACTTTGTGTCAGACCCTGCCGGCGCCGGAGAAGCAGGGACTTGGGTGGAGGCACTCGGCCCCGGCCCCCTGGACGGACGGGGGGACCCCGGAACCCCATCGAGGAGGCAGGTCACTTCCTGCTTCCTGGTCCCCGAGGTGGCTTCGTGGCCAGGAGTGCGAGGACGCCTCCCCTTCCTCTGCCTCCTGCCCCGAAGGGTGTAAACTGAGGCAGATCGGGGTGGGGCGATCAAACGGGGTCGAAGAGGGAGAACTGTCCGTGACAAAACCAAACTTGTTTGGGGTTAGAGAATGAAGGCTGGGGAGGTTAGCTGGAGTTGTCTCTTAATCTGAAATCTAGCCCCCTTGACGAGGGAAGCCTTGGTGGGGAGCGAGCCCCTCCCCAGGCCAAGCAATCGAAGCCCCCGATTATGGATAGTGGTGGCGATGGGGAGCCGATGCCCTTCCCTAAAGGACGGAGAAGGGACAGGAAAGTGGAGATGAGCTACGTTCACAGAAAGTTTCGGTTACTTTGTATAACACTTAAAAGTAATTGCCAACTTTTTTTTTTTTTTTTAAGTCCGTTTCCGGAGTTTTCTAACAACAGAGGTTTGGGAATGAGGGTTTTGTTTTGTTTTCTGGAGAACTTTTGTTTTATTGGTGAAGCCACCCAACTTGATATGAGTAACATTTTTTAATACTCCAGTTTTCGAGACTGTAGGGAGCTTCCCTTAGTCACATATATAATCTTCATGTTAAATAGTAAGTACTAATTTTCGTGAAGAATATTACAGGATTCAAGCCTCCCAACTTTCAGTGTGATGCGCTGATTATTAGAATGAGATGGAAATTAGGAAAACAAGAGTTTGTATAGGCTTTTGAGCATCTGTGCAATAAATGTGTTGTATTTCAATATCTTGTTACAGTTTGATGATTCCCAAAATGCCTTCTTTCAGGTGCGGGGTAAGAAAATTGAAGTCAAAGACCATGGGAGATGCAGCAAAACCGTATTTTGTGAAACGTGCTAAGGACCGAGGGACTATAGATGATGAGGATTTCAGAAGGGGTCACCCCCAGCAAGATTATTTGATAATGGATGATTATGCTAAAGGCCATAGCAGTAAAATGGAAAAAGGCCTTCCAAAAAAAAAAATAACACCAGGGAACTATGGGAGTACCCCCAGAAAAGGACCGTATGCTGTTTCCAGCAATCCCTATGCATTTAAAAACCCAATTTACAGTCAACCTGCTTGGATAAATGACAACCACAAAGATCAGAGTAAGAGGTGGCTCTCTGATGAACTTGCTGGTAATTCAGACAGTCGGAGGGAATATAAACCTGGACCTAGAATTCCTGTTACAAACCGACCAAGAAAAGACTCCTTTCAAGAAAGTGAGGATGGATATAGGTGGCAGGACACAAGAGGCTGCAGAACTGTCAGACGACTACTTCACAAAGACTTGACAAGCCTAGAAGCCATGTCAGAAATGGAAGCGGGAAGCCCTGGTAATGTGTTCCAACTTGTCAAGTTACAACTCCAAAGTCGCAATGTCTTTTTCATCCAAATGATGTTTATTATTTTCAGCAATGTAGTTCTGATTTTTCATAGTTCCTGCTTATTTAATGTGAATACTTTAAAAATTGTAATCATGCTATTTGGTCAACTTAAAAACATTGCATGTACTGATCCCTTCAAAAGTTCACTTGGCTGTGAGGCCCATTTTACTTCAGTAAACATATTTCCCATTGGTGCCTTTTACTCTATCGCCCTGGGGACTATATCATATTTTCTGAGTGGTGTATATGTGTTTTCTAAAATTATGTATTGTAATTTTGTATTTCAATAGCGAATGCGTCCATAATATAAATGACAGAATATAAAGCTAAAAAAAATCATATTCAGTTTAAGTACGCAATATAGACTGTATGTATTTCCTATCACAGAGGGTTATCTGTCTTTTGGATGGAGTATCGATCTCCACAGGGGGGTAGTCCACGATTTTTTTTTTTTTTTCCTCTCAAAAGTGACCATGGCAAATAGGCTGGAACACATTAAGTTTTGGAAGTCAGGAAATACAGATGAAAGTTTTGCCTTTTAGTTTCTGTAACACCAAAACCCATTTCTAAGTGCCCTCTGTGTTTGATAATAATTGCCTCAAAGTGAGTATAAGTTTTTCTAAAAGGTGAATAGATTTTGTCCATGTAGCAGTGATTTTTATAAACAGGAAAATTAGCTAATGGACAGTAGTTACTGAAATGAAAGAAACTAATAAATCTGAAGGAAAAAGTAACAGTATTTAGTCTGAAAATGTAAATTATGCTTGGGAAAATGGGCTTTTAAATATATTGGCTGTAGGCCTTTTTTAAAAAAGATTTTATTTATTGAGAGAGTGAGAGTGAGAAAGAGAGAGCATGCCTGAGCACACAAAGACAGAGAGGGAGAGACAGAAGTAGGCTCCCCGCTGAGCAAGAAGCTCTATGCAGGACTTCATCCCAGAGTCCTGGGATCATGACCTGAGCCAAAGGCAGACTCCTAACTGAGCCACCCAGTTGCCGGGCCGTAAGCCTTTTTTTAGTGACCATATGGAATGGGTGGCAAATTGGCCAGCATTTTAAAGTTTTTTGGTTTGTTTTTTTTTTTAATTTAAATGAATCTAGGCAATGTTGGCCCTCTCCTCGGTATTCAGAAGCCCTTTTCTTTTCTTACGTGTTATCTCACAGCGGCCAGTTACATTTATGCATGTTACTGGTAAGGCATTTGAATTTGTGATCTGGACATTTGGAATACTTAACAGAAAATGTCATTTGTTATCTTTAGGGAGTCTTAAGATAGTCTTAAATGAGAGAAGAGGTGCCGTTTTAGATTTCTTAAGGTAGGAAAAGCAAGAGAATATGCCTTGTATAGTAGAAATAGAATGAGGTGTTATAAAGGAATCCCAGGAGAGAAAAAGCTTGGATGCATGAATCTTTAAGCTAGAAAGAAATGGAAAGAATTGTCTGATCTAGTGCTCTGTTGTGATACATCAGGGTACAGTCACAACTTTTCAAAAAAGCAGGCTGCTGTGGTCTGGCGAGGTTAAATTTATTTACTGGGGTAGTGGCTGAGGAAGTGGAACTGAAATTGAGTGCTGTGCTGCTTTGGCCGTTAACTCAGCCTCACTAGACCTTGAATCTGACAGAGGGAAACCGAACACTGATAATTTCTCGGCTTTTGATTGGTGTTTATCTTTTTTAAAGTCTTCATATATTTAAGTATTTCTATATTATTGTGTCCAGGTAGGACATGGACATCTTAACGCAGTTACCAATAGTCTTTTACAGGAAAAAGTTGGTCTCGAGTAGCATTAGAAAAATAAAGATTTATAGAATAAAAGTTTGCAACGAGATAGACATTAATAGAGACTATTAACAGACTAAAAACTTCTTGTGTATGTATTCTTGTTTAGTCTGAAAAGCAGCTAAGAAAGTTACCTTTAAGTGGTTTTTGAACAGGAAGTACATACATTTTTACTGTCCTTTTAATTGAAGACAGTGCCCAAACCCCTATGTTCTCTGTAAATGAAAAATACGTATGTGCTTTCCCAACTGCGAGATGAAGAACTGTTGAGCTTCTAGACCTTGAACATTCATAAGGGAAATACTAAGCTTTGGTATAAAATAACTTACTGTAGAGAGAAATTCAATTTGAAGTATAAACCTTGCACTGCACTCAGGATCCCAAAAAGGATCTCATTAAAGGGACTGAAATTTTCCTTGAATCAGAATTCTCTCTTAAGGAAGGGTCTCATTAAATGATGTGAGAAGCCAGTGAAAATTATCTTAGAGTTGCTTTGTTTTTTAACACTTTTCTATTTTCCAGTTCTGTGTTACCACCCTGTACTTCATCCCTCAAATATCCTAGATTGCCAATTTAATGTATTTGGGACAATGCCATTAGTGATCTTAGCTGGAAAATATCTACTCATATACACATGTCCTTTGTGAATGGTATCATGGGCCATATGCAAATAAAATACGGGAGACTTGGAATACTGTATACAGAGAATTCATGTTACAAGACACCTGCAAGAGCCCGGCAGTCTTCCTCTATGTAATTGTGGGAACTTTTTAGCAATATCCAGTTTTGTCTTTCAAGATTCCCTTCCATGAGACTTTATTTGACCGTTTTTACCATGCAGTCCTGTGAATCTCAGTTCGGAAGGTGATGCTGTCTTGTCAGTTATGGTCTACTCTAGATGTGAATGGATACAAGGGGGGATTTCAGTAATTTCTTTCCAGTTCTTATATTGTTAGATAAAAGGCTGAATGTCAGAATTCCATCCATGGTTTAATCTTTATTTTAAATCCCATTACTTTCACTTAGTCATTAGTCCCCGAGTAAGTTATTTTCTTGGGCTAGCATTTTCCCCATCTGGATGATGGGAGCAGTATCAGCATCTATGACAGGATCACTACGGGGATGAAACAAGGCAGTGCACATCAAGTACTTGCATTGCATCTGTCGCATAAAAAATACTCCATAATGACAGCTGCCGTCGTCATCGTCATCAAACAGAATTTCTGCAGCCATCCCTTCTCTGTATAAAGACAATAAGGAGTGGGGCACCTGGCTGGCTCAGTTGGAGCATGCAACCCTTGATATTGGGGTTGTGACTTTGAGCCCCACATTTGATGTAGAGATTACTTAAATTAAAATCTTTAAAAGGAAAAAAGGAGTTAATCGTGCTCTTTGAAGGGAAGTTGTCATCCCAGAAGATGACAGCAAATATAGTTACATGAAAAGCCTTTGTGATTCGAGAGGAGGAGTTAAAAATGGGATCTGGTGCCATATCAATTACTGTAGTATAACTAATATGGACTTTTTTCTTTGTTGTTTTTTTTTTAAGTAGGGATTCATCTGTATTTTTTTTTTAAGATTTTATTTATTTATTTGACAGGAGATAGAGCAGGTGCACAAACAGGGAATGGCAGAAGGAGAGGGAGAAGCAGGCTCCCCACTGAGCAGGGAGCCTGATGAGGGACTGGATCCCACAACCCGGGGATCACGACCTGAGCCAATGGCAGACATTTAACTGACTGAGCCACCCAGGTGCCTCTGATATGGACTTTGCTAATGGTATTGCACATATTTGTGTAAATCTCTAATGAGTGTTTGTCAAAGTAGGAAACTTGTGAACACTGAAATCAGATATAATTATTTAGAGTAGAGCTTGGAAGATACACAAATTAAATGAGAACAGACACACCTCTAAGTTAAAAGAAGTGCTTATCTCAGAAGTTGATGCAGATGGAGAGCATAGTCCTTAAAAGATGGTGATAATTTAATTGGGAGTAGAGGAGCGTTAAAAAGCAAGTATTAAAAGTAGACTGGTTTTTCTCCGCAAATGACTACTTACCTTGTAGTATTTTATTTGTTTGGCCCCTTTTGATGGCTTTAAAAAAAAAAAGAAACTGTTTGTCCTAATACTTTAATTTCTTTCAATTGCCACTTTGAGAAGCTATTTATGGAATTTCATTGTATAGTCATCTTATGGTACTTTGAGCACAGTGCTTGCTACTTTTCCTTTAGAGTTATTGGCAACAGCTTTTTGCAAATTAGAGATCCTATATTTCCCATTTCTGACTCACAAGTTTTTTCAGACAACTGGTTTATTGTAACTGCTGTACAAGAAATGCGTTCCACTGAAAACTTGACATAGGAATTGCCTCATTGCAGGGCTTTTCAGTAGCTTTATATTTTGAAAGAGTAATTTTTGACCAGCCATTTAAACATTATTCAAAACATTTATCACAATTTTAATTGGGGAAATGAGTTTTATTTTAATTGTATGTAATACTGATAAATTTTCAGAGCTTGATAGAGGTTATCAGAGCTATTTAAAACAATTTTTTAATAGACTAATCCCATAGTCATCTTCAGTTCCACAGGTAGAAAAGTTGTAAATTTTAAAAAAGCAACAGATTGACTTATTAGTTACAAAGATTGTAGAACTAACAGCAGAGTTTAAGTGAATTAGTCTATACTTGTAGAAAACTTTTATTTCAACTAACAGCCTTTTTTTCTTTGAAATGTGCTTATTGTACAGGCTGTCCAAAGAAGCTAAAATGAAAGTAAAGATAAGATGGGAACTAGTTGTCCTCTGTAAATAAAATTTTGGCTTGAACTGCTTATATCCATGTGGGGAGAGGGCCCAATTACATGAAAACTGAATTTACAACTAAATGATGGATTTTCATTCCACGTGAGAATATAGTTAATTTCTGAGTTCTTTGGAGATCATATTGTCAGTCTTTGCTCTGTTGAGGTTGTTTACAAAACAAATGAAAGCAAATGTGGATAGTTTTCAGTAGAATAACAGGTATACCAGAATTTATTTGATACATTTATATTGTATATCATAACGTATTAGGTGTATTAGAATTACAAGTATACTTACCTTCAGAGGACAATTTTTACTATTGCTGAATATGTTCAGGAGTATACTTGGAAGAAATGATAAAATCACATTGTATGGTTGAAGCGAATTCTTTTCCAGTGTTTCCGAAAGAGGATTTCTATGGGTTGGTGTATCTAGATGAGGTGGCCAATGAGTATTCACACATTTTATCCATGGAAGAGCTTTCCTTTTGCTGTGTTCAGATGTCGTTCAGATAACCACATTATTTAGTTAATAAATATGTATGAATAAATATGTACGGTCTGCTTTTTTGTCAGAGTGGTATTACTCAAGATTACCAATAATATTTTCCCCCTAACTTAAGAAAACAAGAAGCAGAGGTCCAGACCTCGGAAGCCACGTAGGACTAGAAATGAGGAAAATGAGCAGGACGGAGACTTGGAAGGCCCGGTAATTGACGAGTCTGTGCTTTCAACGAAGGAGCTCCTGGGCTTACAGCAGGCAGAGGAGCGATTAAAAAGAGACTTCATTGACAGGCTAAAAAGGGTAATGTCTTGTATTTGTTACTTAAAGTCCTTGTCTTGGTTTAAGCTGTGCTAGTAAATGGAACGTATGCTTTGATGAGTTAGGCATCCTACTACAGTTATTAGCATTTAAGCACTGTGAGTTAAAAGTGATACTCATTTTGATTTAATTGAATCACTTCCAAAAAATGGCCATTAGGATAGTGGTTAAGAGTGACAATAATGTATTAGCAGTTTTTAAAGTGATGGGGAAATCATTTCTGGCTAACTTTTGTTTGCCTCTGTTTTGGAAGATACTGTATATATATATATATATATATATATATCTCTAAATCTCTCCAAATTATAGCGACCAAGAAACTACCCTACAGCTAAGTACACCTGCAAACTTTGTGATGTTTTAATTGAATCCATTGCATTTGCCCATAAGCACATCAAAGAGAAGAGGCACAAGAAAAACATTAAGGTAAGTTTAATGTAACCCAAACAAATGTTTATTTGTTAGCTGTTTTTACTTGTCATCTTTGTGATTTTCTGTCTTTAAGGGTATGATATTAATAACTTCACTACTTATATATGTTACTGAATTTATTTTAGACAAAATACATTGGTGAGATACGTTTTGCTGGGCAGTCTTGTGAATTTCATTAAGAACAGTATCAGGATGAGTAAAGTCATTGATAGACCTTGGTATATGCCCTTATGCCCGTAATAATAAAGCAAATAATTTGTCATTGCTGCTTTTAATGTTTTTTTCCCTGCACTTTTTCCTTATTTTTGCCTGCCTTCTATTATCACTTTATGTGCATAAAGAAGTATATGTGTTTGATGAACTGAAGACTAACACAGCTAAGGTGAGAGGGAGAGCTAAGAAAAATATTCCAGAATATTCTACAGGGTGTTATCTCAGTGAATGGTAGAAGGTAAAAAACTGTGTGAGTCATTTTTAATCTCAATATTGATCTTAAAAGGAGAAACAAGAGGAAGAGTTGCTCACTACGTTACCCCCGCCTACACCCTCCCAGATTAATGCAATTGGTATTGCCATTGACAAAGTGGTACAGGAGTTTGGCTTACACAATGAGAACTTGGAACAGAGACTAGAAATTAAACGTATCATGGGAAATGTGTTCCAACACAAGTTACCAGGTATTTTCTAGATTTGTTTTTCTATTTAGCTACGTAAAAGTGCCTCATGCATTTTTCCAACCCATAGTAATTTTCATCTAATAGAAACTGAGTTACCATGTCCTGAAGCTCTTAATTTTTGTTTGTTTTTGTTTCTTCTGGCTTTCCCCCAAGGTAACAAAGACTTTTATGTGCACTGTCATTAAACCTGTCTTCATTATGAATTTTCTTGTACACATGTACTTTAAGTTAAATGCTCCAGATTATGGGGGCACTGTGGGACTCTTGTGTATCTACCTGTTTACCTTCCTACCTATTCAAATTGACGCAACATTTTGAGTTAAAATAAAAGTATATTTGAGTCATTCTCAGGTTATCTGTGTCCCAAAAAGGTTCTGTTTAACCACTTTTTAAAAGAATTGCAACATCTAAACTGAGCTCTGAACCTATTTTGTAATAGATTTTGTGTACTGTTGATTAAATTTTCCAGGCTATGTCTGTGGAGCCACAGAAAACTATTTTTTAGAAAGCTCCACAAGTGATTCTAACCCACAGTTAGGATTGGAATCACTATTCAGAGGTTATCACCACATCCCCCATAGAACCGTTCGTTCTATTGAAAAAGCATTCAGAGGGCCTATCATTCATACTTGTGTATACCTTCATAAAAATAAAGGGCAAGGATCTGTTCATTTCATTATATCTGTATCTCATCCTTTGTGTTATAGACAAGTTCCAAGAAAGGGATTTGTAATGTCAATGATTTTTGCTGTAGATTTCCATTATAAAATTTGATGTACTTTGTCATGGAAAACTGTTAAAACTCAAAGAAACCACTTGACTTAACAAACCTAGAAAACCCCACAAAAACCCCTGGTGGAAAGGAGATGATTTTTTGGCACAGTAATGTTAAACATTGGGGAAAAATGCCATAAATAAATATAGGCAGCAAACACACACACACACACACACACACACACACACACACACACCTGTCTTAAAATCCTTTTAAGAGTGAATTGCTTGTTGCCTAACATTTTAAGTTATATCAGTGATTTTATAATTATTTTTCAAAAGTTTTTCCTAAGAGAACATACTGTATTAAGGGTCTTTTTGTTCATAATTATACTGAAAAGTAACTTTATGCTGATTTTTATGAGTATTCTGTTGAAACATAATCTTTACAGTAAATTATACCTGTGTGTGTGTGTTTTCTAAAAGATTAAATGTTTGTACTAACTCTTGAGTATACTATCAGGTTTATAAATATGAGACAAAGTTAAGCATTGTTTTTGACTTTCAGATTGTAAAAATCCTGGCAAATAATATTTTCTGCACAAAATATAAAATAAGTTAGAATTTTTTAAACATGTTTTACAATTGGCATAAAAGAGTAGCTGTTAACCTAAACTGCAGATAATACAGCCTTCCCCGGTTACATAAAACAAAATGAATACAAGCAAAGAGCCAGCTGTTCCTGTTTATTTATACCAGATTTGAATACTGTCTTACATTCATGCATAGTCTTAATTGATGGTTCCATGTCTTAAACAGCAGTGTTTTGTTATGAATTCTGAGAAATTTCACCTTATATATGACTCACTTTTTTTTTTTTTTTTTCAGATTGTTCTCTGAGATTATATGGGTCATCCTGTAGCAGATTGGGTTTCAAAAATTCAGATGTAAATATCGACATTCAATTTCCAGCCATTGTAAGTACAAAATAAAATGTTGAAATTTTCACAGAATGGTCTGGAAATTCTTTTTTTTCAAATGTGAGCTATATAAGAGTATATTTAGATACTTGAAGATAATATAAGTGGCAGCTTTCCCCCCTAAAACTTCCAGTTCCATGCTCTTCTGCCAACCTTCAATTTTAGCGCATTTCTTTTAATACTGTACAGATTTCTGTACTTCTTTATAGATCTTTCATGTATACTTCAAATGCTGGTTTTCTAACTATGTAACTCTAATGGGGCTTTTTAGGTTCTGTTAACTTGAGAAGATTAAATTATCTTGGTAAAGTCAACTTTCCAATGTCAGAGAAGAATTTCAGATTTTAAACAGTGTGGATGTGGCAACATTTGTGACCTGAAAACTCCATTCGCTCCTAAGTTGCTACTTCTCTACACCTACTTTGTTAAAATAATTGGGCTTTTGAAGACTCACACCTAGCCCGGATTTCTGGTTCAGATGTGATTGAAAAAGATATGAGTCAGAATTTTGAATCTGGAAGGCACTCTAATAGATCATCTGTTTATCCACTGCTGGTTCTCCAGGCCAGTTTGCAGATGGTTTATGCCCATTTACCTGGTTTGTTAGTTAAAAATAATGAAGAAGATTCCTGAGCACCATCCTCAGATGTTCTGTCATACAGCTTCTCATTCATTGCCATCCCTGACTGCTACAGCTACATGGTCAGCTGACCAATAGATTTTACTCATCTTTTAACCTTCAGTCAAAATTGAATTAAATTTAAACTTGAATTAAAATTCAATCAAAGTAATTTACCAGCATAGCATTTAGCAAATACTCACTGAGTCCGTGTTGTATGCCAGGCACTGTCCTAGATCCCAGAGAACAAAACAGTTAGGATTCCTCCCTCGTGGAACTCCTGCCTAGTGGAGGAAATAAGTAATTACATATATATGATTAATTAGAATGAGAGCTATGTTGGGAAACAAGGTCCTGTGACAGAAAAGAACAGGAGATGTGTAGATCCAGCCATCATGAAGTCCCCTTTGAAGCAATGGCTTTGACTCTAGGCTCAAAACAATGAAAAGGAATAAGGAAGTCAAAGGGTGAGTGTTTCAGGCAGAGAGAGCAGTGTGTGCAAGCACCCTAAATCCCTACAGAGCTTAGCCTAGTCAGGGAGCTGAACGGAAGGTGGAACGGAAGCCATGGTGGAAGGACTAAGAGAAAGAAGCATCCGTAATGTTAGGACGGAGGGCCCAACATGCAGCATCTGTGGGCCTTGGTAAAGAGTTTCACTGTGACCGAAGGGCAGTAGGAAGCTATTGAGAGTTTTAAGGAGGGGGAGGACTAGGTCTGATTTATGACGTTAAGTGGTTGTGATTCCTACGTGGAGCAAGGACTGGAGAGGGCAAGGCTGAAGTGGAGACCAGCAAGCAATCTGTTGAAGTAATCTTATAGGGATCAGCGAAGTGAACAGTCTCACGTCTTGGAGGTTTGCGGAGAGGCTGATTATGTCAGGAATTCATTATGCAGGAGTTGACTGTGCCACAGATCACTTGCCCTCATTTGGCGTTCGTCTCTGTCTCTGACTGATGTGTACACGTAGCATAATGATTAATTAATTTACTGGGGTAGCAGCGTGCTTTCTAATTTGGAAAGGAGTTTGGATAACTTCCAATGACTGTGCATTATCTCAGTGAAACAACAGTACTTATGGATTATTGTATTCATTGATTTGTTTCCTACGTATGGATTAGTAATGTATTCATTGAATTGTTTCCTAGATGTCTCAGCCAGATGTTCTCTTACTTGTTCAAGAATGTTTAAAGAACAGTGGTAAGGCCAAATTCTTTACACGTTTTGCTCTAAATTTTCTTTCTTTTGTCATAATTTGAATATATCTTATTTGTCAAACGTTGAGAATAGGAAGTCATGCATCTTTTAATTATTTCTGTGGTTAATATCCAAACAGAAAACTATTCTGTGATTTAAATTAATACCTCACAGATGATAAATAGGTGTGACCCAACCCAAATACTTGCTCCTGGTTAGGGTTATCAGTGTCCAAAGTAATGTCTGGCTTAGGACTTGATGACTCATTAAACTGTCTCATCCCATGAATTAGTCTTTCCTGTCCTTCTTGTTTGGGTTGGATGAAACATTGAAACATTTCTTCTTACTTCAGTCAGTGTGTATTTTGAGCCCAGATAGCTTTTGCAGCAGTTTTGTTTTTGAATATATCCTATCCACATTTCTAATTATCTTATCCACATAACAACACTTAAATATTCTGATTCAATAATGAGTCAGCTCTAATCAAATGTGAGTCTTACAAAATAAGGGTTTTAAATTAAAGTGATTACTTGGCTATTATACATAATACTGTTTCCCTTTTCAAGTCATCTCAGAGCTTTATTTCGTAATCCTCTTTCAGAAGGCCAAACGGATTAAGTCACAACTTGTACTTCATCTAGTTCTGCTTTTAAACAGAGGTTTAATTAACCTACTTAATATTTTTTCTTCTTTCCTCAGACTCTTTTATTGATGTTGATGCAGACTTCCATGCTAGGGTGCCAGTGGTGGTGTGCAGAGAAAAGCAAAGGTCTCCGTTTCTTTAAGCTGTTTATATATTAAATAGAAACTTGCCAGGAGCACGTGTACTTTATTATATCTTAATGTCCAATTTCTAGAATAACAAGCTCCTTATGTAGTTAATTTCACAGGCTCACTATTAGCATTCTTTCTATATGTTGGCATTTGATGCAAGAGGAGAAGGTGTTTTATTTTAAAAAGAATAAAATTATTTGAAAGGCAACAGCAGAGGAAGGAGGTATTTTGACCCATTTCATTTGAGTAAAAAACAACTTTATCGATGGGCTACTTTCTGTAGCCACCTTACTTTGTCATCCTTTTTAGCAGCATTTTTAGCAGTGCTGAATAACAATTAGCGTGACTTCCCCCATGTGTCTCTTCCTCCATCTGGAAGCATTACCATCACCACAGTACATGGGTGGTTTGTAGGCTGTAATGATTCTTCATTAGGCAGATTCCCCCAACTCTTGGGAAAACACTCTTTTACAAAGATGAATTCCTACTCCCATTTGAACCATTTTACTATATTTTCCTGATTTTTATTTCCCCCCAGAAATAGTTTTAATGTATGAAAATACAGAGTTTTAGTTCTGAAAAATAAAGTTCACTCAGAGAATAGCTGCCCTGTCTTTTTCTTAATGCAGTGACCTAAATGACCCATAAAGATTTTGTGAGTTTTTAATTTTCATTTTGAAGATATTTGTTATCAGTGCAAATTAGTTATTGTCAGTGTAAATAATACCTGATACCTGTGTAATGCTTTTTATCTTTCTTTTTCTTTCCCCCTACCCCCAGTGGTCTTCTTTGTAAAGTGAGTGCAGGAAATGAAAATGCTTGTTTGACAACAAACCATTTAACTGCCCTTGGAAAACTTGAATCGAAGCTGATTCCTTTGGTGATTGCCTTTCGGCACTGGGCAAAGGTAGGTTTGAGTTCTTTAAATGTGTGAGCACTTTCTATGTATGCATAAACAGTCTGCTTTGATTTTTGCCTGGTTAATCTGAAACGTTTGGATGCATATTTATAGACATGAAGAGAGTAAGCATCTGAGCATTGGAACAGAAATTTTAATGTCTGCAGAAAGGAAAATTTAGTGTGTCTATTTCACTGTAACATTGCTGAAAAGATCAAAATGACTTATAGTGCTTATTAAAAATCAGATTTGTGGGTCAAATATAGAATATGACCCAAGAATTTACATTCTGACTAGTTTCTCAACACGATTCTTAGGCACAGAAAGGTTTGAGTGATACCATTTATAATCATGTACGCAGAAACTCCAAAAAATTGAAGCCATTCTCTGCTCATGCTTACATTTCTATAATGTTTTAAGTGTGATATTTCGATATTTATTAGAGCTTTTAGTATTTCCTTAAAATTGAAGGCCCCATGATGATTATAAAATTGAGATTCTGTGTAGGTACTTTATAGAGAAAAGCTAGAGCTTTACTGATTAAGATTTGGCAGTAACAGGGACACCTAGGTGGCTCAGTGGGTTAAGCGTTTGCCTTTGGCTCAGGTCATGATCCCAGGGTTCTGGGATCAAGCCTGCATCGGAATCCTTGCTCAGTGGGGAACCTGCTTCTCTCTCTGCCTGCCACTCCCCCTGCCTGAGCATTTTAATGCGTTCTCTCTCTCTTTCTCTCTGACAAATAAATAAAATCTTAAAAAAAAAAAAAAGAAAGAAAAGATATAGCAGTAACAATGTATAGTGCCTATTGCTGTGGTTCAGGATAAGCCAAGGATTACACCAGTCTTAACCGGGTGAATTGGTAATTACAACATGCCATCCTTTGAAAGCTGCTTCCCGCTTCGTCACTGAGTAGTCTGTGCTTTTTAAATGGTTATTCCTATTGGTGCTAATGAGTTTGCCTACATTCTCTTCCCAGTCACCTTTCTGAGCAAAGCATGAATTTTTAAGGCAATAGGTTCAGATGAGGGGACCATTAAACTGAGCAGAGCCAGTTGGCTTGCACTTAGGATTGAACCATCATTTTGATTTCACTAACAAGTGTGTTAACCAAGTCGAGTGGATTTGCCGCTGGTGTCAAAAAAAAAAGAAAAATTAGATTAAAAATTTGAAATGGAAGTTGCCCCTCAACATCACAACATGTGGTTGCTCCAAAAGTTTCAGGAAGTTTTATTTTTTGTCACTGTGGTGTTTTGGGTTTTAGACCAAATTATATAAATCATAGACTGGTACAAAAGAATGCTTATCCTTTTTTCTCTTATTTGTAGCTTTGCAGTATAGATCGCCCTGAAGAAGGAGGCTTGCCACCTTATGTGTTTGCCCTGATGGCCATTTTCTTTCTTCAACAGAGGAAAGAACCTCTTCTGCCTGTTTATCTAGGATCATGGGTATAAAACTTTTTTTGCTTATATATCTGATACTGATTTTATTACAGGGCCAGAATTGCCTACACATAATTTCAAAATCTAAACTTAACCAGAACGGACATGAATTTATTTATCATGCTAGTGTGAATATTCATGCCTCTCACTGCTGAAATCTTAGTGTATTTGACTATAAGATGCTGGTGTTTTAATTTGAGAAACACGTAGGGTCCTGAGGATTTTAAACAAGACATTGTGAACCCAAATTAAATTTATCCTTTGGTACATACTTCCTTTGGGTATAACTAGATACTTAAATTTACAAGTCACTTCCAGACAAACTGTACGAAGCATTCGATTGCTGTAACTTACTTTCTGTTCTAGAACGTCTAAATAGCTCTCTGCATTCCCCATTCTCTGGGAAACGAATAAAAATAGAAGTATGGAGACTGCAAGATGCAGAATGTTGTCGTCACCTCTTGAATAGTATTTTGTTGTTCAAGATGAGTTAGAATTCAGTAATGTGACCACTCTTTTTCTATATAAATTAAAGTTGATTTATTCAAATAGGATCGAAGTAGTCTCCATCTCAAAGTTAAAATAATACTCTTTTCATCCTTTTGGGAACTTTTCTTTTAAATCCTAGGTGTTTATCTTGATAAAATCTTATATGTATACTTACTATGTAAAAAGTCAAACTTGGTAAAAAGCTTATTTCGGCACATATGGTACCGTAACCACCTTTCTTCTTAAGTACACAGAATTCTCATCATTTAAGGAGGATCTGTTCTGCAGCAGTAGCTTAACTATGAATATATACGAAAAATATATGATTATAGGGAAAAGCTTTTTCTTTGTACTTATATAGTGAGTATTGAGCAAGGACCTTTATCTGCTGGGTCCTAGGAACAAAGACCAAAGACCAAAGCAGAATGAGCCCCTCGTAAACTCTGTCATGGAGGAGGGATCACAGACCACTGTGTGTCCCACTGGCCTGAAGGGTACTTTCTTTGTGCTTGTGGTACTGAAACGAGAGAATGCACAGGACCAGTGGGTGTCTGCCAGATAGCTGTCCTGGTGGAAAGAAGAGAGAACAGACAACCCTTAGCTGATAAGTAACTATTTCCATAAGACCCAAAAGGGCCTGTGAAGGTCTTTAAGTTTTTTCTTTCACTTTAATCCATAGAGACAGGAGTTTAGAATAAAACCAAACCAGTTAGATTCCTGTGCCTGAGAGGGCCGTTAGAACACATTGTATGTGTTCCCATACTTACTTTTGTTCTTAGTGAGATCTACTTTTTCTGGTGTCCTGGTCACCTCTGAGTAGTCCTCTGTCACTGATGTGAGGATGCAGGAAAAGGGATGTGTCTGTTCTGGTGATGTGATTCTCCTCAGGATTTGCTTAAGAACACAGTAGTATGAGTACCTTGTTCAGTGGCTAGTGTATTCTAGGCAGTGGTACTGGACATCCTCTAAAGTGACATTGAATTTGCTTTTGATTATACCATTTGTTTATTTAAGATTTAATCACAGAAACAGGTATGTGGTGGCCAAAAATGGATTGAATTCTGTGATCAAATAAGGTACACTCTACTGCCTGAACCGAAATGATCTACAGTTTTCAGTATTTTAAACTCATCAGGCATCATTGCTATAGTCTTAACCGATACTAGAAGCTTCTGCTAGGGTCATAGAAATATAAAGCAAGTACGGGAAAGAAATTAAATTCAGCTCCTTATTGGTGTCAGAAATTTTACATTGTTATTCCTGGACAAAATGCTTTGAAGATTTCAGTTATGTTTATAGAAGTTTCTAAACTGTTAATTCCTTAAAATCTTTAAAGCTCTATGTACGTTTGTCATTTTACTTGGCCCCAAAGGGAATATACAGATAACGAAGATGAAATTCCCGGTCAAGAACTTTAGGTATCGTGCCTCTGTGCCCTCATCTATCTCTTCAGAGATTGTTGAACCGTTCCCTCCCACCCTACGCCGACCTCTTCCATGTCGGAGGCTGTCCTCGCAGACCTATTACTCCCATGTATCGTTATTGGACTTTGATTTGGCTAAAATTAATCATAGTGAGTTGTGACTGATGAGCAGGTTTAACCCTGTCTTCTCAGCATCTTTTATCCCCAACAACTAGTCTTCTAGTAGTTGTTCTTTGGAATCTACCTAAATCTGTATAGATGTAGCTTTTAGCAGTTATTTACCCATGAAAGATGGCAGGTAATATAATAGAAAAAAGAGTAGTCTCAAGTTTGCTAGCCCTACGATTCCTCCAGATCTTGTCACACATGTCCTTAGGACCTTCAGCAAGTTATTTATTTTCTTGGAGCCTCACTGAGGTCCTCACTGAGAAATTCTGAAATGAGATCATGAATGTAAAGCTCCTAACCCAAGGCAGGAGAACAAATGTAGTTCTTTCCCCTCAACAGAAAGTCAAGTTCTACTTATGATGGGGGGGGGGGGCACAACCTCCTGACCAAATGATCCTTATATAAATAACAGCTATAAATTCTCAGCAAAACACAGAAGACAACAACGTGAAGGCTCTGGAGACTGAACAAGCACAAGCAGACTTCGGACAGAGTCAGACTTTGGAGCAAGTGGCCAACACATAGCGAGTTTCTGTCCTTCTTTTGTGGCTTTATCCTGAAGGCACGCGCTCTGGCAGCAAAACCAGCCCTCTCTCTGGCCAGAGGAACGAGTGCCACCAGATAGAAGGGAAAAATATGGAGGGAAAGATACTGAAAATGGAACCCTTAATTCTCTGTGTAAACTCAGCATGTCTCTGACCAACTCCTGAACCAGTCTAGTCTGTCCTGTAAGGAGCTTGGAAGTCATCACTCTGTCTTCACAAAAAGGGAAAAAAAAAAAAAAAAAAACAAAAACAAAAAACTGAATAAACTGAGAATCAACAGCTCTTAGATCTGTCAGAGATTTGAGGTCAAGGAAAGCCAATGCCCCTAGAACTGGAGAGACAGGCAAATATAGCAAATTATAACTTGTTAGAGCAGAAGCCCAGGAGCAGAGCCAATACCAGGGTAAGAGGGCTTAGACTGGGGTTCTGGAAGCTCAGTCTGCACAAGTCTAAGAGTGAAAAATAGCAGGGCCCCCAGTCTTTGGGAACCTCCCAGTGATTTCACAGGTTCTACTCCAAGAACCCCCACCAGGTTCTCAGGGTGGAGATCCAAGAAAAATCCCCTTGTGCTTTTGGCAGGATGAGAAAAGAAGTCACCATTTTGAAGTATGCCCAGAGCACGCTATTCTCCTAAACAAAAGCCTGCCTTCAAGTGAAACTTTTTTTACCAGGGCCTAACCGGCGTAGGGAAAAGAAAAATACCCAATTCCAGTAGCCCCTTTCCTGAGCCTTCCTGTCTTACTTCAGGTGGGGAGGATTGAAAAGCACTTTGTCAAGGTCACAGTCCAGGACCACAGGCTCTGCTAAAAGACTGACACCCGATCATAGGACTATAGAATGCTTCCCCTCCCCCAGACCTTACCACATTGTTAGGGCTCCTGCATAAAATGGGATTATAATGGCAAGACCTCAATTCAGAAGAAATCTCTTGGGAAACCCAAAAACAATAGGGAAGACAAAAACAAGAAGTCCAGAGAAACTTTGAACCTCTTGACATCTACAGCTACAGCAATCAGTAAACATAGCCTAACTCCTAGCAAAATTAAACTTCACACTAAAGGCCTTTCTGCCTCATTTCCTTAAAAAAATGAACTGAGATCAGAATTGCTGTCCACCAGTCTGCAGTTGGTGTAGCCAAGTTAATTACCTATAAAAGTAGCCACATGTTCTGGAGCAACATAAAGAATCCAGAATTTTCACAATACAGTATAGCATTATAGTATCCAGAATGCAGTCTAAAATTACTCAATATACAAAGAGCAAGGAAAATGGGACCTAGGGGGAGCCTGAGGCAGGGCTCACATCTCACAACCCTGAGATATGTATGACCTGAGCTGAAATCAAGAGTGGGATGCTCAACTGACTGAGCCATCCAGGTGTTGCAACCCATAATAAGTTCTTGAAGAAAGGAAATAATAAATAAAGATACGGACAAAATCAACAAAGAGAAAATAGAGTAACAATAGAGAAAACAAGGCCAACTGTTCAATAAGTAATACTGATAAGCCCCCCATAGATTCATCTGAAAGGAAGAGAACACAGTATCAGGAATGAAGGGGGGTTTATCTCTCCAGATCTTACAGACATAAATGGATAAAAGAATATTATAAATAATTTTTAAAGATTTTATTTATTTGACAGACAAGAGATCACAAGTAGGCAGAGAAGCAGGCAGAGAGAGGGAAGGGGAACCAGGCTCCCCGCTGAGTGGAGAGCCCAACGAGGGGCTCGATCCCAGGACTCTGAAACCATGACCTGAGCCGAAGGCAGAGGCCCAACCCACTGAGCCACCCAGGCGCCCCTATAAACAATTTTATACCAAAAAATTAGAAAACTTAGATCAAGGAGACCTGTCCTTGTAAGACTCACAAAAAGAGCGTTCAAGAAAAAAAATAGCCTGTGTAAACTCAGCATGTCTCTGACTTTATTTTTTTTATTTACTCTCTTTGCTTTATTTTTATTTACTCCCTTTATTCACTAAAGAAAATGAATTTGTAATTAAAGACCTTCCCATGAAGAAAACTCCAGGCCCAAATGGCTTTACTTGTGAATTCTGCCAAACATTTAAGGAAGAAATAATATCAACTACATAAGCTCTTTCAAAAGATAGGAGAAAGAGGCCAGAATTACCCTGATATAAAAACCAGACACACAAAAGAAAGCTGTTATATACCAGTATCCCTCATGAGCATGGACACTGAAACCCTGAGCAAAATATTAACAAATCAACTGAGAAATATACAAAAATAATAAAGGAGAAAAAGCCATGTGATCCTCAAGAGATGCAGAAAAAAAAAAAACCAATAAAATTCAACATTCATTTATGATTAAAAGAAAATAAAAACAAAACCTCTCTACAAACTGGGAACAGAAGGGAACTTTCTCAGCCTGAAAATGGGCATTTATGAAAAACACCTGTCAGTAATGTCCTACCTAATATTGGATTCCGGATATTTTACCTGTAGCACTGTGAACAAAAAAGGATGTGTCCTTCCCCATCCCACCACCCCCCACACACTATTTCTATCTAAATATTTAAAGGAAGTTCTCGTCATTACAATAAGGAAAGAAAATAAAATCAAAAACCTGAAAGGAAGAAGTAGAAGTTTCTCTATTTCGGGTAATGTGATGGTTTACATAGAAAATCCTAGAAAACTACAAATCCACCTCTAGAGCTTACTAGTATATTTAGTTTGAACATAGAATACAAAGATGATATACAAAAAAAAATTGTACTTTTATATATTAGCAACATTTAAAAAGGTTTTGAAAAATTCCATTAACAATGCTTCTTGAAAACACACTAATGAAGAATAAATTTAACAAAAGATCCATAAGACTTTCAACTTGAAAACTAGAATATTACTGTGAAAGTTAAATAAGAATATACATAAATGTAGAGACATACCAAGTCTGTAGATTGGAAGCATTGATAACTGTTTTTCAACAAAAGTGCCTACGCATTTCATTGGGGGAAAGTCTTGTTCAGCAGTTGATCATGGAAAAACTAGATAATAAGGGGGAAAAATATATAAACATCAACCCTTTACCTCCCAAATTACCCCCAAATTAACTCAAAATAGATCAAAGACTTAAATGTGGAAGTTAAAATTATCAAATTTCCTGGGCACCTGGATGGCTCAGTCCGTTAAGCCTCTGCGTTCAGCTCAGGTCATGATCCCAGGCTCCTGGGACGGAGCCTCTTATTGGGATCCCTGGTCGGTGGAGAGTCTAACGCTCCTTCGTCTGCCTCTCCCTCAACTCATGCTCTGGCTCACTCGCTCTGAAATAATCAAATACCTAGAAGAAAACAGGAAAAAATCTTTGCAGCCTGAGGGTGGGCAAGAATTTCTTAGCTAGAGCCCTAAAAGCACAGCCCCCCCTGGGAGCGTGGCTCAGTGATTGTTACGGGAGGAGCCTTCAAAGCAGAGGGAGTAGCGCTGTGAGCCGGGGCGGGCGGGCGTGTATGGGGAAGATGGGACTGAGCAGTGGCAAAGGGACAGATTACCTACCTTCTTTCTAAGCCCTGAATTTTATCCTGAGTTCGAAGGAAACTACTGTGAGGAGAAATGACAGGACGGCTTATGTTTTGGGATTACTCTGTGTACTAAACCAAAAAAGTAGTCCCACTTGTTGTAGAAATATATTTGAGAAACAGGGTACCACATCCGTACCATGACTCGGGTACCTTAACCAGTTTAAAGCCTGTGATCAATCCCACGGCACAGTAAAAACAAAACAAAACAAAACAAAAAACCTGTTCAACTTTGTTCCACATTTCTTAGACCTTTTGAGCCCAGGCTGTGTTCTTTAGCAATTGACATCTCAGGAACATCAGTAGAAACAGTTTCTTACATTGAGCATTCACTGTGTGCCCTATGCTGTGTCGGTGGATTTTGTCCATTATTTCATGTCACAAGTATCACGGAGGAAGTTATAGTGTAGCCCGTTTCTACAGAAACCTGAGACCTCACAGTTCCTCCAGGGAGCCGAGGTTGGGACCTGTGCAGTTTAACTCCAGAACCTGTGGCCTTGAGCCCAGGCTGTGTTACCTTCTCATAGACTGTTTACTAAAGAAATACTTCACAAAATCACCACTTCTTTTGCAAGTGAAAACTTGTTTTTTACTTGAAAGAATATTTTTAAATGAACAGATGTCTCGGTTCATAAACTGATATGATAACCTTTTCTATTTTCAGTGAGTTATGTTTTCATTTCTTCTAAATAAATACACTGTGGTTGATATAAAATCCTTTCTATCTCATTGTAATAGGATATGTCTAATTTTTCCTAGATTGAAGGATTCTCATTAAACAAACTAGGGAACTTCAGCCTTAAAGATGTTCAAAACGACGCTGTGTTCTGGGAATACACTGAGAGTGCTGCTGGCGATGCAGACATAGCAAAAGAAGGGGCCCCAAAAGAAATGCCTGTTAAAAGGGGACAGGTCTGTTCTCTCTCATTTTTAATTTTGCCGTTTATATTTGATTTCACTGTTAATTGTGGAGTCTGTGAGTTATCAGTCCTCCTCTCATCTGTCAGCTATCTTAACTCTTCCATGGATGTTTTCATTTCCTAGTCTGTTCAGTCCTTGGAATAGACAAGTAATGAGAAAAGGTAAAATTCAGATCACTGAATCCACAGTGAAGAAGTACTCGGTATAATGCATTTCAGTGTCCTCATCCTCACCATTAGGGGTAGGCAGGGAAATTTATGCACAAGGAAAGAATTGCTGCTGAAATTTAAACAGAAATCTGAGCAATGTCATTATACTAGAAATAAGAATAGGAATCTGCCTCAAATTGGGGAAGATTTGGGGCAGATATGGGCCCTGACCCCACGACCTTCCCTGTAACTCTCTGGTTTGCAGTGGCAGCAATACCCACAACGGACTTCTGAGACCAGGATCCTAATCCTCGCTGTACTCAAACAAGTCCTGCCACTCCTCTGGTCCATGCCTAAAATGGGGAAGTGGTGGCGAGTCATAGATTCTCCAGTTGTGTTTTCTTGAATCCTTGAGCGCTGGAGAGAGAAGGGAGGTGGTGCCACTCAACCCGATGCCACCAGAACACCACCACTTTTTTTCTGTTTTCTTCTTGGGGTTCCAGTAGTGGAGAAGAGTACAGGCTGTGGAGCCAGAATCTTTGAATTCATATCCCAGCTGTCCCACTTCCTGGCTGTGTGTCCTTGGGCAAGTGACTTAATCTTCCTGGGCCCAAGTTTCCTCATCTAAAAATGGAGATGATACTGGTACCCTCTGATAGAGTCATTGACTTCTAGAATGCTTAACTCAGTGCCAAGCAAGTGGTAAGCACTCAGTAAATGTTACTTGTCATTTTTGGGGGGGAGGGTTGTTTTTGTCTTTTGGAAAAGAAAGCATTTCCTACTTTAAAAGAAGAAAAACAATAACGAGAAACAGCTTAAGTACCACTAGTGTGGATAAGTCCACGTTTTCGTAAGTTCCACGTGGTGGTATTATCAAGTCATCTCAGTGAAATGCTTACGAGCCCTTAGCGATGCTGAATAAGGGTTATGGATAAAGAGGTGAAATTTAATGAGGCTTTCAATCTCTGGGGGTTTTCTTTGTGTCCTCAACTACAGTGTTTGGGACCTAGATAACTTCGGATTTCAGGCAGTTCTGCTTCGTAAATCTATCTAATGGCATTATCCTACTTGACAAGAATATTTGTGGTCAGGATTTAGTGGTTAATAAAATACTATACCACTTGTTTTGAAGTTCAGTATAATAAAGTGTGATGGGCAACAGATTTGTATCCCTGAGAAGGAAAAGCTGTTGCTGTAAGCCCAAGCAAATACTTGATGTTAACATTTTCGTGTTATTTGGAGAGATTAGTCCTGCTACCGCATCAGAAATGAAGACCTAGGCAGGGTCGAGAGTGATTGCGTTGTGTGGTGAGAGAGCACTGTACTAGGATCGAGACCCATTGTTCTCGTTCTGCCGCTGACAAGCAGTGGGACCTTTGGCGAGTCACGTCAACTCTTCGGGCTTTAGTTTTCTCTTGTAACTTAATGGGAGTTGAACTGGATTACCTCAAAGAGCCATCTTACAGTTGTGACGTTATGTTTCAATGATAAATGGATTTCTTGTACTAAAAAGACTATAAGTGAAAGAATACAGAGAGCAACCAAATCTGCCAGATGCTTTCCCTTGTTTCTCACTTAATCCTCATAACTATCCTGTGTTATAGGTGGTTCCGTCCCTACTCTGCAGATAATGATAGCGACCATTTTTTGAACATGTGTGCCAGGCACTGTGCTAAGCTCTTTACAGACATTCTCTCACTCAGTCCTCCCAACAACCCTCTGAGGTGGGTACTGTAATCCCCATTGTTCAGATGAGGAAACTGAGCCTTAGACAGCATAGAGCTTGGCCAGAATCCTACATGGCTAATACATGGCAGAGTTAGATTTCAAGCCTCAAGTGTCCCATTGCAAAGCCAGTTCCATGAGCCACTATGCTGTCATGCTGACTGAGAGTGAAGAGGCTAAGGCAAGAGCAGTTAGGATCTATGAAATGGCAGAGTCAGTATTTGGACTCTTTTGTTTCTATTCTAGGTCCTACGCACCTTCCAGTATATTCTGTCACTGTATGTTCCAGTTTGTTGAGAGTCAGCGAATGTAAAACTGGCATCAATTTCTGATATCAAGAGTTACTTGACTTTGGAGCACCTGGCTGGCTCAGTTGTAACAGCATGAGACTCTTGATCTCGGGATCATGAGTTCAAGCCCCATGTTGGGCATAGAGATTACTTAAATAAATAAACCTCTAGAAAAAAAAAAAAATTGACTTTAAAATCAGTTGTCCCTGGCAGATTCAGTGAGCTTATGTAACGTCTCAGAACAAATGAAAGGAGTGTTTTGCCTTTTGCTCTCTGCCTGTAGAAGCCGCCCATTTTTGAGTGTGTGAGCGTAGAGGTGCCCTCCAGCGGCAGGCAGCTCCAGGGAGAGTTCTGTGCTGAGTAGCAATCCGGGCACGTTTCTCTCCACCTGTCATTAAGGCTTCAAAATAAGGAGTGCCCCCTGGTTGCCTAAAATTGCCCGTCTGCTCCTATGATGATGGTTAGATTTTAACATGCCCTCATCCCAGGAGTACAGGGTAGAAATGCCATTTTCCCACAAACAGAATATAACCTAGATGTGATTTACCTAGATGGATTGTCAAATTCCTATCTTTGCTAAGGTTTTTCAGGTTTTTTGTAATTTGCTTGAATGATCTCTAGTTTTTCAGATTGTGCTGACACCTGAACTCACCTGTGTGTTTTCTCTTTGCTGTTAATAGGTATCATTAATATTTGATTTCAAGCACCTGCCGTCAGTGCCAGTTGGGCAGCTCTGGGTGGAAATGCTTCGATTCTATGCTTTAGAATTCAATTTGGCTGACTTAGTGATCAGTATTCGTGTTAAAGAATCTGTATCTCGGGAATCAAAGGATTGGCCCAAAAAGCGCATTGCCATTGAAGGTATCTCAGAACATTTATTTTTAATTCCTTGTCTTTTTAAGGTACCAGGCTAACCTCGTGCTTTTTACTTCATTCTCCTTTCAGCCTCCACGTGTAATATAGGCCTGATCCCAAAAGTGAAATAGTTAGAATCTTGCATGTGTTACTGTGGTCATTCCAAGGGATCAAGCTGTTTGTTCATCCTAGGTTTTTTAAGCACTGCAGTAAAATGTCTTAGTTAAAAAACAGCTAAAACAGTGGCTGGCCCAGTCCTTGCTTTCTTTGTAAATTGCTTAACAACTTAACCGCTCCTTCCCCGCCGCCCACCCTGATGTATGAATCCCCCTTTCCTCTTTACTGTTCTCATTGTTGGATTTTTTTAGATTCAGTCCTTTCCTGGATTGTTGTGTTCATTTAGTTTTATGAAGGTGAGAAAATACTTTTTCTTGTGAAAAATAATTGTTCATTGGATTCCTTTTCATAGAGAGAGGGGCTTGTTATTTTTGGAATATCTACAGTAGCATTTGGAACTGATTCATGAAAACATTTTTTCTAGCAAAGGCTCATTTAACTAAAACCATTGTATGAAAGACTCGCTGATGTGCCCTGTAGACTACATTAAATGGACTAGCTCTTCTCAGCTTTGCAGAGTCAGGAGGTTGAAACCCCTCAAGAAATCTTAATTCTCCTCCTTCAGACAACTTAAAGAACCTCCTAAATGGAATTCTCATATTTTTGCTTGATTTTTTTCAAGCTTTATATTGCATAAGAGGGTTTTTGGTGGTTTTTTTGTTTTTTTGTTTTTTGTTTTTTGGTTTTTTTTGCATTTTGCATTTTGCATAAATTCTGTGTGCAGTCATGGGGATCTCACATTTTTAAACCCTCCCCTGCAGTTTCTCTGGCTCAGCTCTTCTGGCCAATTGCCTAACCTGCTGGAGTTCTAGGGGAGGAGAAAAGATTGAGAGAAGTGGTGTCTCCTCCTGGTGCCTCCCTCTCGCCCCTGAATTCAGTCCAGCCAGTTCAGTGATGGGGCTTCCCAGGGCAGAAGAGTGGAGGTAAGCTCTACACACCACAGGGCCTGGCTGAGTGGGGAGGCAGAGCACTCAGCAGAGCCTGGTGGGAAGCCCTCACTTCCCCAAGGCACAAGAGCCACACAGATGACACCTTTTTTACCTCCACAGTCACAGAACAAAATAGGGAAGGGGTATTGGTTCAGAACAGAATGGGTACTCTTCATAGAACAGATGTTTAAGGAAACATTTCTTTTTGTTCTTAAACTACCTCTTTCTTATTTCCCATCCCCAGTTTTTAAAAAAGCATACAAGATTCATGCTAAACTTTAGTATCGTTTGTTGTCTATTTTTATCTACAGCAGGCTAATTTTTAAAACATGAGATAGAAAGGTATGAAGTGGTGGATTTTTCTTTCTTTTTTTTTCGTTACAGATCCCTACTCTGTTAAAAGAAATGTGGCAAGGACTCTAAATAATCAACCAGTGTTTGAATATATACTTCATTGTTTAAGGACAACGTATAAGTATTTTGCCCTTCCACACAAAATTACAAAATCCAGCCTTCCAAAGCCTCTGACTACTGTCACATGTCTTTCCAAACATTCTAAAGAAGTAGCCGAGCATGACCCGGGTACACAAGCAAAAGAGGATAAACTGAAAAACTCAGTTTTGGCTCGAGAGCCAGGTGCTGCCATTTCAACTACAGACACCTGCACGGTACAGCCACTGACTCTTGTTAAAGAGACGGCTGAAAGCTTTGGAAGCCCCCCATCAGAGGAACTGGGAAATGGGCATGTCAGTGTCTGCCTGGAAAACCCAGACCGTATCAAGGCAGGTGCCAGTTGTGATGAGCAAGGGGATATTAAAGGACACCATCAAGAAACAGGAAGTGAAACTGGGAGAGAGGGCAAGCATCCTTTGACTACCGATGATCAAGGTTTAAGGAGTAGCAGACGTGGAGAGTTTGTCATCTGTGGCAGCACGCAAAATAATGAGACAGAGAGCACTTTGCATTTAGAAGGCTTCCAAAATCCCGCAGCCAAAGAGTGTGATGGATTCACTACTTCGGAAGACAAGGCTGATGTTGATGAAGAAGGCATAGAAGGTACAGATGATCTCGAAGATGCTCTAAGCCACTTCACCCCCTCAAGACAGGGCCATACGTCAGGAATCATTCATTCCGATGAAGAGGAGGAGGAAGAAGAGGAAGAGGATGACGATGAAGAGCCCAGGCTGTCCATTACCCAAAGGGAAGATGAGGATGACTTGGCTAATGAAGATGAGTTAGAAAATACATACACGGGATCAGGGGACGAGGATGCCCTGTCTGAGGAGGAGGATGAATTAGGGGAGTCTGCTAAGTGTAAAGACTCGAAAGAAGGTGGAAAACCTGCGGCTGGGGCTCTACTAACAGAATTTAATAAAATCTGTCTTAAAGAAGAAAATACATGTGAGGAAGGCTCAACTGTGGATCAGTCTGATTTCTTCTATGAATTTAGTAAACTCACCTTCACCAAAGGCAAGGTAATCAGTGCCACTCAGTGCCACTTAGTGCCACAGAACTAAGAGACATTAAACAGTTTTTTTTTTAATATTTTATTTATTTATTTGACAGAGATCACAAGTAGGCAGAGAGGAGGAAGCAGGCTCCCTGCTGAGCAGAGAGCCCGATGTGGGGCTCGATCCCAGGACCCTGGGATCATGACCTGAACCGAAGGCAGAAGCTTTAACCCACTGAGCCACCCAGGCGCCCCGAGACATTAAACCGTTTTAATGCATGTAATTTTAATTTTCGTGTAGTAGAACAGAGCTTTCCCATGTCTCGTGGTAGTGAGGAGTTGGTGCAGTCCAATACAACCACTCGATCTCCTTCCCTCCTTAGACCCGTGCAAATTTGCATTGGAGAAAGGGAATGCTCTTGGTAGTGGAAATTACTACCTTTTACTCCTGAGTATCCCATAAGATGTCCCCGTTTGGCTGCACATTATTTTTATTCCTTTGGCAAGTGAGAGTAGACTGTGGACTTCTCAAAAAATTATTCAGGGCCCCTTTATTTGGCAGATTTGTATCTTACGTCTTGTTTTGCTTTGCCACCTTCCTGCAGTCTCCTATGGTCGTGTGCAGCTTATGCAAACGAGAAGGTCATCTCAAGAAGGACTGTCCCGAAGACTTCAAAAGAATTCAGCTAGAACCTTTGCCACCACTGACACCCAAATTTTCAAATATCTTAGATCAAGTTTGCATCCAATGTTATAGTAAGTTATTAATATTTCTTTTCATTTGTCAAAATATTGCATTGACATTGGCTCAAGAGTCCGCAGAATCACTGACCTGTTAGCTCCATCACCGAGACCGGGTCTGTTCCATTCTCCACTGTGTCCATGGAGCTCTCTGTAATGCCTGTGCCAGTTGAGACTCACAGTAAACAATTGTTGAAGGAAAGACAGGATGGGAGGGAGGATCTTTTAATTCTAACTGTTGGAATACTAGCATTCCCAGCTGGTTTTCCTTGAACTGTTTTCCTAAGTGCAGTTAATAGTATCTCTTGGCAAGGAGTGCTGCACAGGTCAAGTAGGGAAGGAGTGTGCTTGCTGCTCCCACTGGGGGAGAGTTGTGGGGCAAATTAGCATAATAAATGGCCTCTGAGAAACGTTGTCGTGATAAACTTATTTAACTCTTCATCCCAGCATTTCCAAAATCTAAGCATAAAATACTTTAATTAACACTTATTAATGGCCCCCTAACAGCCCTTTGAGGAATACCAATTTGGGGAAGCAGATGGTTAGATTTAAAGGAAAAACACTGAAAGGAGAAGCAGGCCTCTCTTCAGATGAACTTGATGCATCACTGTGCTACCTCCTGAGGGAGCTGTGCTGGAAGGCACTTATTAACCAGTGACTGAGTCGTTTTTAAACCTTTTAGGAGTTTATAAGCTATAAAAGGAAACTAGATTCCCCTTAGAAAACTATATATGCACATGCTCACAAACTTCTGTCCCTGAGGGCCACCTTTATAGAACCCTGGCTTTCTGAAACCTCATAGCAGAACCTCTGTTCAGATTCCTGGGAACAGATTCATTCATTCTTTCTTTATTTCTTTTAATTATTTTTTATTTTGGGGTATAATACATTATTAATTTTTTAATTTTTTCCTTTTAATTTTAAAAAGTCAGTTAACATATAATGTATTATTAGTTTCAGAGATAGAAATCAGTGATTAATAGTTGCATATGTACTCAGTGCTCGTTACATCATGTGCCCTCCCTAATGTCCATCACCCAGTTACCCCATCCCTCCCACACCTTTCCCCTCCGGCAAGCCTCAGTTTGTTTCCTATGATTTAGAGTCTCTTATGGTTTGTCTCCCTCCCTGATTTTGTCTTTGTTTGATTTTTTTCCTTCCTTCCCCTCTGATCCTGTTTTGTTTCTTAAATTCCACATATGAGTGAGATCATATGATAATTATCTTTCTCTGATTGACTTACTTCACTTAGCTTCATAGCCTCTAGTTCCATCCACGTCATTGCACATGGCAAAATTTCATTTTTTGAGACTGCATAGTATTCCATCATATATATGTACCACAGCTTCTTGATCCATTCATCTGTTGATGGACATCTGGGTTCTTTCCATAGTTTGGCTATTGTGGACATTGCTGCTATAAACATCCAGGTGCACGTCCCCGTTTGGATCACTACATTTGTATCTTTGGGGTAAATACCCAGTAGTGCGATTACTGGGTCCTAGGGTAGCTCTATTTTCAGTGTTTTGAGGACCCTCCATACTGTTTTCCAGAGTGGCTGCACCAGCTTGCGTTCCCACCAACAGTGTAAATGGTGGGGACAGACTATTTTCAAAGAAAGACATTCTCTATTTTATATTACTAATGCTATCTACCAAGAAGACACATGGAATTTAGTTTTCTTTTTAAGTTGTTAGATTTTGTTTTATAAAATGATTTTTTTTCTCCAGAGCACATGAACAATCTTTGTTTCTAAATTTTTTTTTTTTTTTAAACAGAGGATTTTTCTCCAACTATTTTAGAAGATCAAGCTCGTGAGCATATTCGGCAAAACCTAGAAAGTTTCATAAGACAGGAGTTTCCAGGTAAATAACTTTTTACATTTAAAAGAAAAGTAGCATGACCTTCCTTCAAAATGAGTACATGTGTTACAAGCACATTAACTTGGAGAATGAGAAAGAATGGTGATGGTGGGGACAGGGCTTCAGTTACTTTATGATACGCTGAGGATGGTATTTGGTCTGCCCCATCCTACTTTACCAACAGTGAAGACAGTAGCGGTATGGGATTTCTGTTAACAGACCCCACAATTGAAATCTCATTTTGTGTTCTTTTTATTTTTTTTTTAAAGATTTTATTCATTTATTTGACAGAGAGATCGCAAGTAGGCAGAGAGGCAGGCAGAGAAAGGGTGGGGGGAAGCAGGCTCCCTGCTGAGCAGAGAGCCCAATGCGGGGCTCAAGCCCAGGACCCTGAGATCACGACCTGAGCCGAAGGCAGAGGCTTAACCCACTGAGCCACCCAGACGTTTCATTTTTTGTGTTCTTTTCAAAGTCAAAGTTCACATCTCTAAAAAATGAATATTTAGAAAGCAGTAAAATTACATTATTAAATATACTGATGTGATCCACATTTTCCTTGAACTGTCCTTTCATTTAAGAATAAAGTTTGGCACTTGGTAATCTTTCACACTATATGTAGATTGTATTTATTTAAAGTAAATTTTGAAAAAAAATTTTGAGAGGAAAAAGTTTGTAAGAAATGAACTGGTTAATAAAAGAACATAATTATAATGAGATTCATATAGGATAGTTAACAACTGGGTATTTTTGATTCATGAGAGGGCCATTTTGATCAGAGGATTAAATGTATTCAGGTAATTAGTTATTACTTTTCATATATCCCTAACAGGAACTAAATTGAGCTTGTTTGGCTCCTCCAAAAATGGATTTGGGTTCAAACAGAGTGACCTTGACGTCTGTATGACAATTAATGGACTTGAAACTGCAGAGGTACAGTGACCACCTAAAAATTGAATTTGCCGTGGCAGTGTGATTTGACAATCTTGACTGGCAGTACAGCTTGGTGTTTTCCAAATCTATCAGCAATACCACATGGAGTACGCCATTTGGCACAGTCTCTCTGGTCAGATACTTAAGAAGCTTAGAGGTAAATGTGAGGAGGTACCAGGGTGTGTATTTTCAACATACAGTACAGAGAGGATTTGAAAGCGGCCTGTGGGAACACTACCAGGCCAAACCAGCTCCTCCGGTGTCCCATTGGCATGGCCAGTGGGCAGACGTTGATGCACACACCCACAGGAGGCTTTTTGAAAAGTGTTTTAGGAAGCAGGCAGTGTGGTCTTCTGAGACTTGTTTAGCAGGCAAATGTACCATGATAAGAACGCTAACCATACAGTTCAGAGACCCAGATTCAAGACAGGCTTGTTTCATACGTCCCTAACCACATGGTTTTTGGTTGGTAATCTGTAAAAGGAAAGCGTGCCCTCTGCTCCTCGTGCCTCAGGAGATTTGCCCTGCACCTCAGCTTGGATCATGTATGTCAGGAGTCAGCAGACTACAGCCCACAGGCTAAAGCCAGCCTATTGCCTGTTCTGTCAGAAACAGAGCACAGTCACATGCCTCCATTTGTGAAGTGTTTTGGTTTTGTTTTAAGATTTTATTTATTTATTTGACAGACAGAGATCACAAGTAGGCAGAGAAGCCCGCAGAGAGAGAGGAGGAAGCAGGCTCCCCGCTGAGCAGAGAGCCCGATGCGGGGCTCTATCCCAGGACCCTGGAATCACAACCTGAGCCGAAGGCAGAGGCTTTAACCCACTGAGCCACCCAGGCGCCCCCATTTGTGAAGTGTTGATGGCCTCTGCGTTCGTTCGATAATGACAGAGTTGAGTAGTTACAACAGAGTCATACGGCCTACAGAGCGGAAGAGGTTTTCTAGCCCCTAACAAATTTAAGGCCTTTATAAAATATAAAATACTGCATAAAGATATAAAGTCTGAGAAGTGCGAAGTCCCTTTTTTATTTTTAACGACAGCCCAAACGCTGTATAGCCAAAAATGAGTAACATTGCTGTCACTCAAGGTCTTTTTATGTCTTTGCTTACTTTCAAGTCTTTGTCTTTTGAGGATGTATCTGTTTTGGGAGAATAGCCAAAAGTTAGCCACCCTGAGTTTGGTGAGTAAAGGGGATAAGCAGGATTGGGTCCAATAGATGGAATTACCTCATTGTACATCATCAATATTGAATTTTTACATAGCTTAGAAACGAGTTTTATGGGCATTTCTGAAGGAAAATTTCCAGTACATTTGGGATGTGTGTAGCCATCAAAAGGGTTTATGTTGTAAAAGGTGAGCCCAATGTTTTTAAGTATGATTTATTTGGAACATTTGGATTTGCTGTATGACTTTCATTTGTGCATTATACACAGTCCTGCGGAGGGATTATCTGAGCTTAATCACTTTCCACAGCTGTTCATCAGCTCTTAACTGAAATATAATGAAAGTCCACCCAGAATGAACAAAACAGGGCACAGAAGCTCTGTCTTCTTTATTCTGGCACAGAGGGCACTTCTGAGTAGCAGAGTTACATGGAGGGGGCAAATGAAGGTCCTCATTTGGACAATGGTTCAGAGTTTTCTGGGACATCTGATTTCAGTCTCTCTTATACCTCCAAAAACAATTTTAGTAAATAGGGTCTGTGGGAGTTTTTGTATCCTTAGGCTTTTTCCTATGAATACTGACCAAGGCTTGCCTAGGAGGGAAAAATGTATATAGAATGAGTTGAAATTAATATCATTATTTCCGAAGGTAATGGAAACTCTCTGTAACCAGGTTAGGAACCTGTCTTCCCTTTGTGATTCAGCACATGCACTTTTTGTTGCAGGGGTTGGACTGTGTAAGAACTATTGAAGAACTGGCAAGAGTCCTCAAAAAACATTCAGGTACCTCAGCAAACTTTGTCTAAAAATATTTTTGTCTTTTTTATCGGTGTTCTGCATACTTAAAATTTATCCATGCCAATGCAACAAGTAAAGTTGGGCACGTAGGGTACATTTGGAGAGTCAGTGTCTTTCAACAATTTTGTGTGATGAAGTAGGAAAGAATCGGTAATCATTTGTGTGCGTTTTGTTGCCTAGCTGAGTTTTATTTCAGAACAAAGCATATACCATACAGGCAAGAAATTTTGGAAATCCATTTCGCCGTATTGACCTTGTATAAGTCCAAGTGTTGCTGGCTGTGGTGTGAAGTGTAGTGGAAAGCACTGGGGGGTTCTGGACTGTCTTTGTGCTGCTTGACAATTACATGGGACCCTGAACAAGTCATTTAACTTTATGCTCTCTTTTTCTCTCACCAATAAACTGAGAAAACTGAACTGGGTCGCTACTAAATTTTTATAGCTGTAAATCGTGACCACTGATGCCATGCCGTTAATGTATCCTTTTGCTGTCAGGGACAGCTATGGATGCTGTTAACAGTGGGTATTTTCTTTTTAAATGTGGTTCAGCAAATTTCTGTGCTAGGAGCTGGGAATGAAGGTGAACACAATATGGTCTGTGACCCCCACAAAAGTAAAACTCCATGGTCTGTCCATGAGATGCTTTCTTTTAGAGGAAAGCAGCAAACATTGTATAATGAACTGTGTGTGTCCTTCATTCAGAGCCACCAGCTGTTGACATTTTACTACCTTCGATTTATCATTGTCTTCTTGCTTGATCACAATTTTTTTCTGTATCATGTGAGATTAAACTGCAGACATGTTCCTTTCCCCTAAATACAGCAATGTATCTATCTTAAGCATGAACTATGTTAAAAACAGGTCATTTTTAGACTGAAACGACTTATACACACAGATGGTAATGGAACACAGATTACATGGAACAAGAATTGTAAATAATAGCTAAAGGGCTATGATTGAAACCTAATATCATTAAAACAGTCCCCAGCTATCTTATTGGGTGCCTACTATGTGCTCAGCACTATATTGAGCACTTAGGGATGGTGGAGAAATAAAAAGTCTATACAAGCCTTTTCCTTGGGCAACTTTCAGATTTAAAACAAGGGAAGGTAACCTCATAGACTATGTAATGATGTAAGGCAGTGTTCATTTTTCAGAACAAGTCGGAAGCTACTATAAGTATTCAGTAAGTTCTGAGGAGAGAGAGGTTCTGAGAAGGAGTTACATAGGAGAGATTCATGGAAGAGATGGGTTTATGCTGATCTCAGGTGATGCTGAATATGATTTGAGAAGGATCTTTTCCCAGAAGAGAAGTCATTCCTGAGAGTGCACGTGTGTGAGCATGAGAGTTACTGCAGTATATCTGGGAGGACAGTGGGAAGATCAGGACATCTAGAGAGTTTCAGGTGGTTCTTACTACTCGTTAAGGTAAAGTCTGCAGATGCTTGGAAACCAGTGAAGTTTCTTCCAAGAGAGGAGCAACCCGATAAAAGCAAAACTTAAGCTTTTTCGTCAGCTGGTAGAGTCTCTCAGAAAAGGTATACTCTAAGTGAATTCAGGGCCAAAGGACCTTAACCAGGTGCTAATGATCCTAAAAGGGAAAAGGACAGGAGAGATTCCCAAGGGGATGTGGTACCTGCAAGAAAGAAAGAAGGGTTTGGACTGATGTTAGGTACTTGAGAAACGAGTGTTTGTAAGAGGGCACCACGTGGAGGTGTATAGTTTGCCATGGAGGTATAATCTCCAGGAGTTAAAAGTCCAGCAAGCAATTAGAAATATAGAGTTGTTGGTCAGGATTAAAGAACAAAAGAAAAAATTTTTCATTGAAATCCTTGAAGAGAAAGAGAGAGAGACCAAGAATAAAACAGAATTCTTAGGGATCCTTTGAGAGAAGTTAAGGACAATTCCTGTGAGTAGAAATTAAGAAAGGACACTGAAAAAGGCACCATTGGAATGACAAGAACCGGAATGATGTGCTGGGAATAGACCATAGCGGATAGGCTGGTAATGGGCAACCGTGTCAAATTCTAGAATGGGAAGGAGATGGAGCATAGAGCTCTCTAATTTAGTTGTGGTATAGCAGAGTAGTTAGTGGGGGTTCTGGAGTCAGACTCTCTGGTTTTAAATTTTGGCTCTCCACTTGTGTGGAGATATTTATAATCTCTATATTGGATATAGTCTGGTTGTGTGTTCCCAGAAAGACACTCAACCTCATTTTAAGTACTTGGTTCCTCATCTACAAAGTAGAATAACAATAATAGCGTTCAAGGTTAAGAAAGGTGGTACGTTAAAGTACGGGGTCTAGCATATGCCAGGGATACCTTGCCCCACCTCCCCATCAGGAAAAGTTAGACCTCCTCTGTCTCCCACACAGACTTTTTGTATTGTAATTTCTATCATCTACATACTTTCCACCTGAACTTTGGATCACTATGTATCTGCCCTCCGGATACCACCACTTACCTGTTTGAGAAAAAACTCCAACTCCATCTCAGAATGAACTCCTCTTTCTCTTTACTGCCTTCCTGCTGCTACAGCTTCCACTACCTGCCCTTTCCTCTGAATCTACTTTCTCCATCATTGACACTGACATTCTTGGAATCACCAAAATGGGTGAAGCAATGACTAATTCATCTTAGAATAGGTTCAGTAGAAATTTGGAGTTGGTCACACCTACATGCAAATTTCAGCTCTGCAACTTACTAGCTCCATGTTCCTGAGCAAATTAATATTTCTAAGGCTTTGTACTCTCATCTGTTGGATGAGGGTGAACATTCTTAGGAGGTGGTGCTTGTGAAGGATTGTGGGTCTGCAGGAACTGGTGGTGCTTACTGTTACAGCCCTCCTTCTTCTCCCTTATCCCCCCTACTTCCATGTCCGCTCCCCTTATCTCCACTTCCCTAGCTAGTCCAGGTGTATATTCTCCAAAGCATGTCTTGCTGCTTCTCCGCACCGCATGCCACCAAGATAGTTGAGTTCCAGATAGATCATTTTTCATAATGGTCACCGTGCCCCTCTAGTTGGTGTCTCCAGTCTCCATTGCCAGGGTGTTGTGCAGATAGATGAGGTCAGTGTTTCTCCCCAACTTACACAGTTCATTGGTGTCTCCTTGCCTGTAAGGATAATTCTTAGCAGAATATATATGTTCTCTATAGGCTCTTCCTGGTTTCTCTCCCACCTCCTATCACTCATTGTTCTTTTCCCTAAAGTCTACTCTATAGCCTTTATAATTCCATGGAAGTTCTCGAACTTCCCTTTTAGGGGTCTGCTTTGTGCCTGTGTATATTTCCTTGTAAATCCCCTCAGTTGCCTCTATCTTTACCTGTCCCTCTCCTTTTTCAAAGCCTAGTTCAGGCAATTTCCTCTCCTGTTGAAGTTGATTCCTTTTTTTTATCGTCTTAACTTCTAGCTCTGTGATGAGTAATTTTTGTTTTGAGGATTTGGATGATTGCCCCAAAGGCTTTTCTCTATATTAGATGTAGTCAGGTGAGAAGAATAGGGAGGGCCCACATAGCCAAGACTCTCTAGTAGTCTCTTCTGTTCTGGTGTTTATGAGACTGACAGCCCTATACACATGCTTGTGACCCAGTGAGTTCCTGGAGGGCACTGGCTGCCTTGTTCATCCTTGTACTTCAGATATCGATGTGTTTCACTAATACAGACTTTGCCAGAAAAGTCTTCCCAGACGTTGAATAACAGAATTGAGTAGTTCCAGCGACTGCAGTGAAACAGACCAGTTAGATTTATATCATTTTATGTTCGAACATTAACAAGAGTAGCTTATGGCCCAGCTGCTGTATTTCACAATACTATCTTATTCCCAACCTAGGTCTGAGAAACATTTTGCCTATTACAACAGCAAAGGTGCCAATTGTAAAGTTCTTCCATTTGAGAAGTGGTCTGGAAGTGGACATCAGTTTGTATAACACACTGGTAAGATTTTCTCTAAGCTTTTTCTTTAGGGAGATCAAGGGGAACAAATCTCTCTTAATTTACAAAATCTCAAGTAAAATTAAGCCTTTTTTTTAATCTTATTCATTTTTTTTAAAGATTTTATTTATTTATTTGACAGACAGATCACAAGTAGCCAGAGAGGGAGGCAGAGAGAGAGGAGGAAGCAGGCTCCCCGCTGAGCAGAGAGCCCGATGCAGGGCTCAATCCCAAGACCCTGGGATCATGATCTAAGCCAAAGGCAGAGGCTTTAACCCACTGAGCCACCCAGGCACCCCTCATTCTTTTAATCACTATTTAGGAGTGCTTGCTGTGTGCCTAGCAGTGTTCTAGAGGGATGTAACAGAGAGTTGCTCATATTTATTTAAAGTGAGGTCAGAGTGGCAGGTGCTTTTAGTTTGGCTTGAAGTTTGTTTAATTTTGTAGTGTATGTCTGTCTTTGGTCCCATAGCTGGTTTGTTTTGGAGCTTTATGGACCTTCTCTGGATCCTAGGGGCATTCAGTTTAAATAATGCCAGGGTGATGTGGGGGACTCCTAACATCTACTTAGACAGAATTACCTTAATAGCCCTTACTTCTAGGAATGTTCAGACTAAGGACATATTAACATAATGGAAGTCGTGAGCTCAGATATCATTTATAATTCTTATTATTAGTAAGTTAATGAAGCTCTGTTTTGGGGGAAAATATATTGGTTTCAGTCTAAAGGTCTTCAGTCTGAAGTGAATTACAGTGTAAACCTTTTCAGAATATTCCAGCCTAAAATTTTTTCTTCTAATTAATCCCTTATGGTGTAATTTTCCTTTTAACAGGCCCTTCATAACACAAGGCTCTTATCTGCTTATTCAGCCATTGATCCCAGAGTTAAATATTTATGCTACACCATGAAAGTCTTTACAAAGGTGAGTATCCTTCCTGTTGGGATTCATCAGGAAATTTCACTGCATCTTCAAACCTAGGTGAAAACATAAGTCTATATTTTTTAAGGACCCATGGCTGTATTAAATGTTTCCTTTAACTACTTTGGGAAGCCTGCCATAGCAAGCTACAATTTTATCATCTTAAATTTCATATATGATAATCTGATCTTGCTTGTGGCTGTTGGTTGGGGTTTTTCTTTTGTTTGTTTTTTACATCCTTTTCGGTGGTCTTGTTTGGTTTTGGTGACATACTTTAGCATTTGAAGATGTAATTTTCATATTACTGCCCTATAGAAGCACCTTACTTTTAGTGATAATAGGATAGCTGCAAATTTAGCAGAAAACATTGGTGATGTTTTCTTTGTTCCTCGCTTTCCTTCCCTCTAGATGTGTGATATTGGTGATGCATCTAGAGGCAGCTTATCGTCATATGCATACACGCTTATGGTGCTATATTTTCTCCAGCAGAGGAATCCACCAGTCATTCCTGTCCTTCAAGAGGTATTAGTAAAAGAAATTGTGTTTCTCACCTGTAAAGCTGGGTTGCCTTTGAGCCCTCTTCCTTCTCTAGTATTCTGTGGTTCTGTAGTTAAATATTTAACTATTTTCCTACAAGTTTTTGTATCAATGCATTAAATTTGTAATCCATACTAATAGTTTAAAAATTAATTTCAGATATACAAAGGTGAAAAGAAACCTGAAATATTTGTTGATGGCTGGAATATTTATTTTTTTGATCAAATAGATGAACTGGTACGTATTTTAAGAGTAAAGATTTTTTTACATCCTTGACTAAAAGTTAGCTATACTATGCTGTGGTATCATGTCAACAACTATATTATCACTTGTTATATTTATCTATATTATGATAGTGAAAAACTAGCATATACAGATGTTTCCTTTGAAGTTGAAAACATTTTTATTAAGCCAGGTGAGTTTCAAGGGACTGTATCTAGGATTCCTTTAATGCCTGTCAATTCCAAATGGTTATGTAACTTTATTCCAAGTGAATATTTGCCAAGTGGTTTTTGGAGTTTGAAAAGACTTTCTTTGAGTTCAAAGATCTAATAACCCAGGCATCATCAAGGCTCTTAAAATTTATTTCCAGATGCTTCTACAAACATGCGTTCTGGGGTTTGACATTTAAAACCCTGAGCTCTCCCTGTCTCTGAGACACAGGGTAGAGATTAATAAACTCATAAATGATATTTAAAAATGTGAAAGAAAGTAATGTAATTATGTTTTTATGTATTTAAATTCCAGTTAATTAAAGTAAATCCAAACTTATTCCCTAAGATACAAATGAAGATAGATATTAACACTTTACTATAGAGCATGATATCTCTTGTTCCCTTCTATTTCTAGCCCACCTATTGGCCAGAATATGGGAAAAATACAGAATCTGTTGGGCAACTATGGTTGGGACTTCTTCGATTCTACACAGAGGAATTTGATTTTAAAGAACATGTTATTAGCATCAGGAGAAAAAGTCTGCTTACAACTTTTAAGAAACAGTGGACCTCAAAATACATTGTTATTGAAGGTACAAATAAAATGAAACTTAAAATGGTTTAGAATATAGAGTTGGAACTGTGAGGGCGTTGTTTTTCATCCCTGCAGAGCTCTTCCAGAACGGCCGGGAGCCACTGGTTGGGATGGGCAGCACAGCCTTCCTATTACTGTCCACATCAGCACACTTGACTCTTTCCAGTATAAAGATTTATTTTTAAGTGACCCAGGTCCTCCTATGGGCCCTCTCACCAATTCAGAAGTCTTTTGACCAGGACACATCTTTGATTTTTGTTGAACATCTTCTGGAGAATAAGTTTGCAATAGAGATAAGGCAGCTTCAAAAAAGTAGGACTTTTAACACCTTCCGAATTGAAGACGGGGCACTAAGAATGAATTTTCAGGATCCTCACTTGCTCTTTGTTCATTAAGGAGTTTACGTATAAGTAATTATATATAAATTTTAACATTTCTTTTGCCCACGCTGAAGCCTTTTCTTCCACTGAATGCAAGGATCCATGGGCCATATATGTTTGTAGTTGATTATTTATTTGTGTGACTTTAAATTTAGGGACAAAATGAAGTTTAAATGCTTAAAACTGAACTGAGAAATGGCTAAGAAATATTTCATTGATTTTAATCTTTTTAATTTTTAAAAAAATATACGGATTAGCTAAATAACGTGTTACTCTACGTTCTGTTTCCATCATTACTTCTGCCTGTTGGCAGTATAATAATACTGTGAACATTTATAAAGTTAAATTCAGATCACTGTGGCTTTAGATAGGGTTTTAACGTTTTAGGATCTCATGTGTCAAAAACATAGAACTTTGTCTTAAACCTTTCCATTATCACAGTGGATTCTTATGGTCTCCAGTTGTTCATATTTTGTTTTTAATTTTTGAAGTCTCTTTATCTTTTATTCTCATTTTTACATTACTTTCAGATGAACCATTAATAATAGGCTAAGTGAGAAAGAAGCCTTTTAACCAGCTATTCTAGAATGGAGGAATTTCAGGGGTGGCGACAGCAGCAGTGATTATAACTGTCCTGTAGCTTAATATCACAGTGTCGCTGCTACATTAAGCAAACAACCAAAATAATTCCACATACACACATGTGAAAGTCACCAGAAGGAAGCATGATCAAACCTACTAGGAAGGAAGGGACAGCTGGGTGGGTAGCTCAGTGGGTTAAAGCCTCTGCCTTCAGCTCAGCTCAGGTCATGGTCCTGGGTCCTGGGGTCCTGGGGTCCTGGGATCGAGCCCCGCATTGGATTCTCCACTCAGCGGGGAGCCTGCTTCCTCCTTTCTCTCTCCTCCTACTTGAGATCTCCGTCTGTCAGATAAATAAATAAAATCTTCAAAAAAAAAAAAAAAAAAAAAAAAAAAAAACACCAAAACCCTACTAGGAAGTAATGTTCTAATAGCAGTTATTAGTGTAGGATCAAATTGAGCGAAGGCTCCTCTACTCCGGGAACCTGTTAGTGAGTCTGAATCCAGAATGGTGTGTCCCAGTTATTGTTCATTAGAAGCATAACAGACAACTTTAGGATGCCCCTTTTCACTTCTGTATTCTTTTTGTATCTACTGTATACAAGCGGTCTTCGATTCTTGATCCCTAAAAAGGGTTTTGAGGGTTTTTTTCCTTTGCTTTTCTTCAGTGTTTTTAGGCATTTATTGGAAATAAATATTTACACATAATATTCAAAGTATGAATTATTACATATGTATATTATATATAAAATATATTAATTTAGAAAGTACTTTATCTCCATTTATTTCATGAATAAGTTTTATTCAGATCTTGAATAAATCTTACATCAGCATTTTTTTTTCATCATTCCTGCCACTTTCTGGGTCATCTAATAGATAATATTCCAGAGCACAACATATACATACCTATCTAAGACTTTGTAATGCAGACCTTTAACATCATAGAGGAGTCCTTTATGAAGATTTCACTAAAAACTGAGGTCCAGGTAGCCATTGGTATGCCATTGGGACAGGTGCATGTGTCTTAATTTGTCTTGTAACTGTGTTTTATGATCTTCAAGATGACTAACGTGATCCTTAAAACACTTGTTAGTTAGCAGGAACATTCAGCACTAAAATGTTCTAAATATATTTGTGACCTCTTTATGCTTCCCAGACTAGCATCATTAGATCATACACACCTAATATGTCTCCAAACAATATTTTGTTGTTCAAAATGAAACAGCTCCTCATAATAGGAAGGAGTCTATACAGATTCAAATATAAAGCAACACCCTCTCTTCTGATGGACACTTTGGAGAAAACGCTTGACTTATATTTAGGAATTGATATTACTTAGCTGTATTGCATATTGGAAACTCATTAAAAGGCAGTCATTCAATAAAGTTAACCCTTGAACAGCAAGAGGTCGAACTGCACAGGTTCACTTAAATGTGAATTTTTTTCGATAAATACAGTACAGTAAATGTACTCTCTCTTGTGATTTTCTTTTTTTTTTTTAAAGATTTTATTTATTTGACAGAGAGAGAGATCACAAGTAGAGAGAGAGAGAGAGAGGAGGAGGCAGGCTCCCTGCCCAGCAGAGAGCCCGATGTGGGACTCGATCCCAGAACCCTGAGATCAGGACCTGAGCTGAAGGCAAAGGCTTAACCCACTGAGCCACCCAGGCAGCCCCTCTCTTGTGATTTTCTTAACATTTTCATTAACCTACACTTTATTGTAAAAATGCAGTATATAATACATATACAAAATATTTATTAATCACCTATGTTATAGGTAAGGCTTCTGGTCAATAGTAGACTGTTAGTAGTTAAGTTTCAGGGGACTCAAAAGATATGCGTGGATTTTTGACTATGTGGGGGGTTGTTGCTTCTATCCCCTACATTTTTCAAAGGACAACTGTACTTTTACAAATAATAAAGTATATAACACTTCCTTCTTCTTACATAGTCACTTAATGTATGAACGGTGGCATTTCCTATTTCATTATCTTTTTGTTCTCATTCATTTTCTTTGCTTAGATCCCTTTGATTTGAATCATAATCTTGGAGCTGGATTATCAAGGAAAAGTAAGTTGCTTTGTTTATAAAAGTTATTGTGATCCCTTTTCCTTTTACTCCATCTAATTGAGCACTTACTCTTTCTTCTTAGTGACAAATTTTATAATGAAAGCATTCATTAATGGTAGAAGAGTATTTGGTATTCCAGTCAAAGGATTTCCGAAGGACTGCCCCTCAAAAATGGTAAGTGTCCGTTAGAAATACCAAAAATACTGGGATGCCTGGGTGGCTCAGTTGGCTCAGGTTGTGATCCCAGAGTCCTGGGATCGAGTCCCACATCGGGCTCCTAGCTCAGCGGGTAGCCTGCTCCTCTCCCTGCTTGTGTTTTCCTCCCCCCTCTCTCTCTCTGACAAATAAATAATTAAAATCTTAAAAAAAAAAAAAAAAAAAGGAAAGAAAAGAAATACCAAAAAACCAAAAAAGGTGCTTTATTAATCTGTACATATTACACCAGCAATAAATACTCTCAAAGTCTGGTGAATCTAGCCAAGATAAACAATTGCAATACAAAGCAATTCCAAAAACGTTTTTTTAAACATATCCGTTCTGAGGCCATTTTTTATTAGGAGAAAAGGGAGAAACAGCCAGAAGTGGAGTTTGGGTAGGAAGATTAGTCATTGTGGTGCTGTTGCTTTGCCTTGGTAACACATGTAGATGGCATCGCTGTTCTGTGGGCATTTGGCTCCGTGCCAGCTTCTGCCAAGGCCAGCCTCCATGTGGCTAGGGGTCCTCCACTTACCTCATAGGAAGTCTGGATTTTTCACTTGGATTGCAGAATAATACATCTCTTAATGGGCCTAAGAGAGAGACCAAGCTCTCTGTGCTAGCAAGCTTACTGGTATCCTATAACCTAATACTCAAGATTTGTATGGAACTGGACTCATTAAAAACAAAACACAGTCGCACTGTAAAAATTCCCTTCAGTGAGAGAAAAGGAAGTTAGGAACTAGAGGATTTTCTGTTCAAGTTATTTTTTTCCAACATTAATTTTTTTTTTTTTTTTAATTTGAATGAGAGAGAGAGGGAGAGCGAGCACAAGCTGGGGGAAGGGGTAAAGGGAGAAGCAGACTCCCTGCTGAGTGGGGAGCCCGATGTGGGACTTGATCCCGAGACCCTGGGATCATGACCTGAGCCGAAGGCAGACCCTCAACAAACTGAGCCACCCAGGCGCCCTAATTTTTTTTTTTTTTTAATAAAGACTTTTTAAATGAACCTTAAGTGCATTTGTGTATATTCAGCACTGGATCCCATCTGTGCATCTCCTTTTTGCTGGATATGCTATAGTTGTCTTCTACACCAAGGCTTCTGAAGCTTATTCCTACAGAGCACCTTGGGGATTTTGTTAAAATGCAGATTCTGATTTAGGAGATCAGGGTGGGGACCAAAACTTGCATTTCTTACAGACTCCCAGGTGATCCTGATACTTCTGGTCCTCACCTAAATTTCACTGGCAAGGAGGCTTCAGTCCAGACATTCTCTTTCCTTTCTTCTGATATTTTTCTCCAGAAGCCACAACAAACAAAGAATAGCATATAGCTTCTTTCTTTTTCTCTGTATGTGTAATATTCCTCAGTTTATTGGATTGTAGCCTTTTCATTTTATGAGAAAGCGAAGCCTTTGTACCTGACCTCAGCCTCCCCCAAGTCCTGGCAAAGCTGACTCATGGGTATGTGTGATGCTCTTGTGTAGAAATATCCTGGAAAAACAGGCTGCCTTTGTGGTTAGGGTTAAACCATGGTCTGCATGATGAAAAGGAATAAACCAACATGAATTTAGGTAAAATTATCCTGAAGTAAACCTCTTAATGGTCTTCAATTTTGGAATTAAACAGTATAATAATCATTAAAAGAGGGTCTCTGATTGATATCTGGTTAGTTTTCATGTTTTGATCTCACTTTAATAGTTCACACTTTTCTATACTTACGTTCTGTTAGGAGTACTTTTTTGATCCAGAAGTGCTAACTGAAGGAGAGCTGGCCCCAAACGATAGATGTTGCCGAATTTGTGGGAAAATTGGACACTTCATGAAGGACTGTCCAATGAGGAGAAAGTAAGTCAGTGTTCAAAAGGGGTGGTTTCATTTTTACTTTCCTATTGTACCAGTTTTTAAATGAGGTTCTATTGTAACAGAAAATAAACTTGTATTAAATCCAGCAGTTCTCAGATAAATGATTTTTCACAGTGAAAATGAACTGATTTAAAACATGCATTTAAGCACAGATGACCAGATGTCCCTTGGGTGTACAGATACCAGTCTTCCAGGCCTGCTCCCCTTTCCTCATTTTGGTCACTGCCCCCAGTCGCTACTCAGCCATTTGGTCGGCAGCCTCTCCAACAGGGATGGCAGAAGAAACGAGGAAAGTAAAATGGGCTCTTTGGTACATCAGTTACACTTCCAGTGTACAGTAACAGGGCTGTACCAGATTCATGTACAGCTTTTTGCCATTTAGGACCCTTCACGTGTATGTGGTTCAACCCTTAATGATTGCTGTGCTGACCCACTCATGTGGGTCAGGATACTTCTGGTGACGTTTGCAGGAGGTGGGGTAGTGTTGATTGCTTGCTTGGGACATACTGTTGTTTTGGATGGTGTGTTGGTCTTAATTGGACCATAATACTCTCATTTAAAGACATGCTCTTAAGGCACCATCTGGAATTTGAGGCTCTTATTTAGTACTTTGGTTTTCTATTCAAATAATAGTCACTGCTCATGTAGAGCAAGAAAGAAACATTTTTAACATTTTAAGAATATAAATCACCTTACAACCCTTGTTCCCTTGTGAACTGAAAGTTCCACATCTCAAATTTCTAGCGCCTAATAAAAGAATGGGCCTCAGAGTCACAAGAAATCACCCCAAAGATCACTGGAGTTTCTTTACATCCATATCTTAGCAGGTACTGGACCAAGGAGTTCTGCTAACTGCAAACACTGTTTTTATGGCACTAGAGTAGTTGTGAAAATCAAAAAGAAAAACTATACCATCGCCCTGAGGTTGCTTCCTGAAAGAGGAGACGGACTGAAATGTGTTACATTCTTTTTTTTCCCCCTGATACCTTCTGCCTCCGGTTATCTCCCAAACCTGGAGCACCCTTAATATCTTGTCAGGTTTCTGTTTAGATTTTTCCTACCGGTGTTATATCATCTTCTAGAGTGAGACGACGGCGTGATCAGGAAGATACCCAGAACCAAAGATACCCTGAGAACAAAGAGAAGAGAAGCAAAGAGGACAAAGAAATTCAGAACAAGTACACAGAGAGGGAGGTGTCGACAAAAGAAGATAAGCCCATGCAGTGCACACCTCAGAAAGCCAAGCCAGTGAGGGCGGCTGTCGACCTGGGCAGAGAGAAAATACTCAGGCCTCCAGTGGAAAAATGGAAGAGACAGGATGACAAAGACTTAAGAGAAAAACGTTGTTTTATTTGTGGACGAGAAGGGCACATTAAAAAGGAATGCCCACAATTTAAAGGCTCTCCAGGTATGGATCCCAGTCATACCTCAATGTTTGCACTCACATCTCAAGGGAAATCTCTTTTTTAGAGTTTAGAATTCTTTATTATTTTAGTTATATTTATTTCTTTAACAAATCAACTTACTGAAAAAGATTTTTAAGAAAGTGAACTCACCCCCTTTAAATTCAGACCCTCTTATGTGGCAATTTCATTGAGAGGCTTATAGAAGTCATTCGTTTGACTTTTTCTAAGATTATCCATGAATGGAAAATCCGGTCATCCCCAGTGCCTATAAAATGTAGCCTGTGTGACCAGAAAACAAGCTGCCACTGGAGCTTCGCTTCTCAGTACATGCACTTTGGAAACTAAAGCACTGACTGGCCACCGGGGAGGCATAGCTAAGTTAATCTCAGGACACCAGGCTGTGTATAGTGAGCCACTTGTGCTTTCGTTTAAATATGTACATGCACATGCCTAGGAGAGGGACCAGAAGGAACTCCACGACACAGCTGTTATGGTGGTTCTAACTGCAGCAGAGAATTACGGAGTACGTAATAGGACATTACTAGTTTCCCGCAGCGAACGTGATTATTATTACAATGAGGAAAAACACGCTATCAGTCCATAGTTGAATGTCATCCATACATCCCGTCCCTTTGAGTTCTTGGATCTGCATTGATCCTTTCTATTAAATGGGTGAAGTGTCCACTGCGGGCACCTCTTTAACAGACTGTTAAGCATGAAGGTACCTTCTGTGTGTATAAGTTAGAATTTACAAAGCCGTTTATACACTCTCATTTTGGTTCTCAGAATAAACCTGTGAGAGTGGATGGAATTTGATTGGCATAGAGAAGAAACCTGGGGAAGTCATTTTTTAGATTAAAGGAGTAACCTCTCCTGTTCCTGTCCCCAGTTGTGTATGTGTATGGGTGGTGTAAGAGAGTCAGCACTGATGACAATTCCCTTAAAATTCTCTACTGTTCGTCGTTCCTGGAACACTAATACCTCTCTTCCATTTTATTCTATCATAGCAGCAATATAATGTGTCTCTTTTTTTTAAGACAAAATTTTTAGAGCACTTATTCTTACTTTTTTTTAAATCGAGCTTTATATGGAATGAAGTATATTTTTTAAATTATTTAATTATTGGTTTTAAAACAGGACTTTGGTGTTTATGGAAGATACAACTTGTCCTACTTCTAAGGAGCTCGGACAAATGTAAACTCCAACTTTTTTTTACCCTGACATGGGACATAGACCAGATCTTTAATGATTATAAGAGGAATATATATTTAAGAGAAATTAAAATAATAGCCAGAGCTAACATTCACGGAGTGCTTCCTATGAGTCAGGCACTATTTTAAGTACTTTACGTGGGCAGTCTCATCTCATTTTCTCCCCAACCCCATGAGATGGTGGTATCAATAATCCCAGTTGACAGATGAGGAAACTGGAAATAGTATAGATCAGATATAATGAAGTTCTACCAAAGTTATTTTTGTAGACCCTTCTGAAACTGGTGGTCTGTTTACTAAGTAGCACAAAGCACGTTACCATCGCGTTCCTCTTGGCTACAGCACAGTGGTAAAGGGAAGCCCCAGCATTCCCCCAGCTTTGATGGATTTCTTCCTCCTAGCTGGTAGCAAGGTTTAAGTTGTCTACTAGTGAAACTGTCCAAACAGAGCAGTGTTTCTGAAAGCCTTCAGGAGCAGCAGCAAATCAAGGAGAGTCAAGGGTATCGTGGGGTGGGAGGCTAGTTATTATCCAACCGAAGGAAAAGCTCCAGAATCTTGGATTCCTCAGAATGCAGTGTTTACACACTAAATCAGGTAGTCACTGTACTCTAGAAGTAAGATAGGAAAGGAGGAGTGGGGCTAGGGTATGGGGCATTTCCTCCCATAGCTACTCAAAGTTGCTTCTTCCTATTGGACAATTATGCCGCCCCCTCTCATGTCTTCAAATATGTTATTGTTCACACAAGATGCTGAGTGGACCTTCTGTCCTGTCCACAGAAAATCGTTCTGTGGAAGTTTGAAAACAGGGATGCTGCTTTCATTTTAAAGTGAGAACAAAATGCTAATTTTTTTCTCAGGTGTGTCTAAATCAGATTGTGTATTCGGATCCCCTTCTTCACCTAGCCCCCTGAGACCAACTGGCGCATTTGCTCAGGTAAACCTGGCTCACGCCTGAGCAGGAAGCCTCTGGGTCTCCTGTCTGTTGAGCGAACACTTACTGAGTACGAGCAGCTCTGTGCCAGGCCCTCAGCGAGGTGCCGGGCAGCCGCTGGCCCTGCCCTCCTTCCGCTGGCTAACCCTCCTGGCTCCTGTCTCTGGCCCTGGTGCAGCGTGGGGTGCGGCTTGCTGAGCTCCGGATGGCTCCGGATGGCGGGGCGTGCTTTGAGGATTCCCGAGTCTCTGTCTTGCTTTTCAATTAACTTGCAAAGTTGTGCCTTCCACATGCCTAATTTCGGCCCTCCTTGGAAATGGTTACGGTTTTAAGGGTGTTTTCAGATGCTCTTCCTTTCGACTTTGTAAACCAGTCTATTTCATTTTTTAGGCAGTGCTTTTACATGAAGACAAAAAGAAACAAAAAACAACTATATTTTTGAGTCCCCAGTCAGGTATGTGGGTTTTAAAAAAAACAAATGTGTGTTCTTTTATTTACTGCATAGCTTACCACATGCCTTTTGAGATGCTTCCTTTGAGTAAGTGGTTTTAACAGGGACTGGACATCAGAATCACTCAGGGAACTCTTGAAAATACGGTTGCCCTGTCCCCACCTTTACCTCCTAAATCCGATTCCAAGTGGGTAGGCTTAGACCTGCCTAGCTTTTAAGTGTTCTAAGGTGATTCCTATACCGTCCCTGAGCAGGAACCATAGTCTTTAATTCTTTATTCTTCTTTCACACTTTTTCTTTCTGCTTTGAAATTGCCACTGTCTTGTCAGCAGTGTACTCTCCTCGTGAGACTATGTGCTGTGCACCAGGGGAAGGAAAGAAAGTAACTGTTGGCCTGAACTCCACTCTCTCGCTCTCTCACTATGTCTTTAATCCTTCCTTCAACAAGTACTTATTAAGCCATTTTCCCTCTCCCCCCTCCACTTCCCAGCCCCAAGTGCAGGGTAAGAGCCTTAACACGGACAATACAGCAGGGAACCAGCAAAGTCCTTGCTCTCGTTCACTCTGTATTCTTGTCAGAAGAGATACGTAAGTATTTCTTATGGCAACAGGTGCTGAGAAATACAAAGCAGGAAAAGGGAATGCTGGACAGGGAGGTGGCCATTCTGTTAAGTAGCATCTATGCAAAGAATCAAATGAAGGAAGGGGCCAGGCAGGGGAAGTTGGAGGTAGATCGTTCCAATAGAACTGAAAACCACCGTTGTCCCTCGGTGTCACTGAGTAGCAGGTGCAGGGAGGGCGGTGGTAGGAGGTCAGGTCAGGGTAGATGGGTGTGGATCATGAGGCGCCTTGAGCACTGGCCAGATTGGATTTCTTTCTGTCTGTGAGATGGACAGCTGTTGGAGGTCTTGGGACAAAGGAAGTTTAATCTGAATTCTGTTGTGGAAGGTTCCTTATGGCTGCTGTGAGGAGGTGAGGGTGACAGCCGGCCCACGAGGAGGCTTCTGCTAGAGCTCAGAGGAGAAATGGTGCCGGCTTACTCTCGGGTGGGAGCAGAAGGCAACGTGAAGACTGGTCGTGTTCTGGATATTTGGCACCAACGTGGGTTGTCACTGGATTAGATGGTGACATAGGACAAAAAGTGGACCCGAGATGACACTACAAGTTTAGGCCTGAGCAACTGGAAGATGGAAGTGGAATTTCCTGTACTGAGAAGGACTCAGGAAGAACAGATTTCACGGAGAAAGAGAGTCCAGTTGTAGCCATGTCAATTTAAGAGACTGCTAGATGTCTGGGTACAGATGCCAGGTCGCAAGTGGGATGGATGAGCAAGGTGTTCAGAGCAGAGGGCCAGGCTGAAGACCGAGACTTGAGTATTTTCAGTGCAGAGATAGCGTTTGAAGGCCTGGGTAGGAATGAGATCACCTAGAAAATAATGCAGAAAGAAAAGAGAACATTTAAAGGCTCAAAATAAAGAAGACAGACAGAAGATGGTCAGTGAGGGAGTAGAGCAGCAGGAGAGCCGGCTCCTGGAGTAGGAGCTGGTATGGAGGACAAGGGCCCTCAGAGAGGGCTTGACCATTCTTGGTCCTCGCCGCTGCAAATTCAGGTGCAGTGTGGGTGGCGCTGTAAGCATTTCATTGGGCAGTGCTCACGTCATTAGTGACTCTGGAAAGAGCCATCCCTCTGGCGTGAAGAGGACAGAAACCTGACTGCAGGGGTTTCTGGTGATCAGTGTTGGAAGAGGAACTGTGGGCAACTGAACCTCACACCATCCCTGCCTGGCCCACAAGCCTGTGGACAGATGCCCAGAGGGAGGCAAAACCCGGAGGCTCTCCTTTTCTCCGGTGTTTCAAGAATGTGAGTTGGGAAGGGGAAGGGAAACTTAAGAGGGAAGAGGAAAAACAAAGTAACTGAGCAACTTTTTCAGCTTTTTTTAGTAAGAAAGGATGAAACTATAAACTCTATAACAAATATTCTGAGTTCTGGCCTGTAAACACCCTTAGTAACTTTGCTTAGTCAGTCTCTCTCTCTCTCTCTCTCTCTCTCTCTCACCTTATTCAATAAAGTAGGGTTAAAGAAAGGAAATTATATAAGCAAATAGAGCATGTGTAGTCTTTTTAACTTGATTGTACAGTTTATGAGAAAAGTTTCTGAAATTTTAAAACTCCATTGACAGAACCTGACATTTTTGTATGTAGTGTAAAACAACCCACATATTTTATGATCAGCTTTTACCTATTGTATGTTATTGCTGATATGCAAACACCATTTGTTTTTAGCTTGGAGAGATGCTGTGTTCGTTAAAAATGTGAAGAGGAGAAGCTATCTCTGCCATCGTTACCGGGAGATAGCACTCCCTGCCCCTGGGCAGCCTTGTAGGCCCCGAGGGAGAGAGAGGCTTCCCTGCTTTCACCAGCACAGTCTGAGAGAAGCCAGGGTGCAGTGGTCTCACCCTGGGAAAGCTCTGAGAGCTCCCAGCAAGGGATGTTTGGTTGTCTCTACTCTGAATGTCGTTCACAAGAGAAAAATAAATGGACTTGTTAAATTATGTAGCTACTTCTGTTTCTGCCCGTCTGGGGATGAAGTATCTCAAGTATATACAGTAATCTAAACAGGAATAGTCACTGATTTTTAAGCTATGTGAATTCCAGGGATTTTTTTTTTTTTAAATGATTGGAGAAAACATTTAAAGTGGCATCAGATCGCGTAACAATTCCAATTTGTGAAGAATGGGCACTGGGTTGGTATAGAGTGAGGTCAGATGGTTCAAGGAGAAAGAGCCAGAAATCTTCAGAAAAGTACCGCCCTTACCTAAAAAGGGAACAGCGGATATAAAGGTAAAGACAAAGGAGGCTCTGTGAGAAAATGCAGGAGCAGCTGTTTCCTGGGAAGATTTTGCCATTGTTTTCAGTAGAATGCATGGACGGATGTAAAAACAAGAAACATTCTAGTGGGAAAACACCCCAAATCAAATAGAAGTGAAGTGGGCCTGGGGCCCTGTTGTGAGACGAGAGGAGGAGGCTGACACCCTCTGCCTCTGAAAGCCAAGTGCTGGAAACGGACTCTCCATGGCAGTGTGTGCGGTTGCTTCCCATGGATCCTCTGAGAGTTTCAGGGTCACAGAGTTACCGTATGTAAACAAGCCAAAAGAGTGTTGTTTTTATAAGCCTCAGCCTTGAACAGATATTTCCAGAGCATTACACAGGGAAAATAGGGATCCTTGCTTGGTCGAGATGTTGCTTTTGCCGAGGGTAGGGTGTGGAAGAACATGGATGCCCTCTGCCATCAGATTGCAGGATATGATTTCTAGCATTGTGATCTTGAAAAACCTGCTTACACTCCACTTGACTCAGTTTCCTCATCTGTTACAAAGGGATGATAATAGCTGGCTTACAGGGATGTTGAGAAATCCATGTAAAACACTTAGAACAGCACCTGCGTGTAGCCGCGAACAGAGGTTTGTAGGAGTGGTGACACACTGATGCTCCCGCACAGTGTTCGTCGGCGTGGCTCCTGATAAAGGCTTACACGTCTTGAAAGTAGAAATTTATTATAATTTTCTGAATTTGTTTGTCAGTGGGAGAAGAATACAGATGTTGGACATCTGGACATAATACCTGGGCATGGCATGACCAGTTGGCTATAAAGATTTCTGTAATTGTCTTCCGCGTCAGAGACTTACATATTTACAAATATTTTCAGCAACTGTAAAACTTAAAGGTTGAATTGACTACAGAAGAAAAATTATTACAATAAACATACCTACTTTATACCAGAAAAAAAAAAAAGAAAACATTTATGGGTGGTTAGAATCTATCTTAGTTAAACTCCTCAGTCAACAACTGTTAAGACTTGTCAGATTTATCCACAATAAACTCACCCATTGTCTATATTATAAATCTGAAATACATCTCAATTGTCAGTAGTGTTAAATTTCCCCAGAGCTCTTTTTTCCCCACAGTACTAAATATGTGACACACAGGTGGTTTCCTGTTGATAGGACGGCCCCTGTTCTCTCCAGTAGCCATATTGACCTCAGGCAAGAGACCTGCTTTCTCTGAGCTCCAGATGTCTCATCTAGAGAAGGGCTGTAGCCCCATTTTTATCTTACCAGATCCTGAGGTTAAAGCACCAAGCCCCTAAAAAGCCAAGTTCTCTTTCCTGATACTTCTTGCTCCATTCCTTTCTCCTGGGCTGCATATAGTCCTTAACTGCCAAATGGGAGAGTAATGAATAGAAGATTCCATGAATTTCCTTGTTTTCCATTGTGACTCCCCTCCCCCTTATACACACTGCTGACGCAGTGCCTTAGATGTTCAGTGAGTTTTACTGATAGAGAAGTATTCATTTTGAAAGAATAAATAGACTGAGCAGGAGAAGGGCCAAGAATAAGAGCTTTCAAGTCAGACATATGTGAGTTTGAAATACAGCTCAACTACCTGCTGGCTTTTCAGCCTCTGTCAAGTTACCAGACATCTTTGTACCTTAGTTTTCTTATCAATAAATTGGGGCTGACCCCTCACAGGACAGTTGTAAGGATTAATTTTCTATACATAAAGCTTTTTTCACAGCATCTGGCAAATATTATCCCTCAGCAAGTTATCACTGCCTTGTTACGGGTGTAAACAGTTTCCTGCCTCACTGTTACTTCCCTCTTCTAATAGGACACATACATCATGGACATTAGAACCGTAGTCAGCTGGTTTTCCTGCATAAGTGAATTACTCTGGTTTATATAATAACCGTTTATTCAGAATGAGAATCTCAAAAAAACTAAGATTTCTCTATTCCTTACAACTCCCCCTTTTTGCAAAGAAGGTTATATTTCCAAAAGAACTACATCTGACTCTTCATTTATTCCATTTTAATCTCACAGTTTGAAATCCTAAAAACTGAAGATGTTGGAAGAGATTGATGGTATCTTTACTCCCTCATGATGATGTGTATATACTATTACAGTTTTTTACCTCGACCAGAATTTAAAAGCCTAATTTTTTAAA